CTCACCTATGAACTAGATTAATTTTCTCACTGTATAATTAATAATTATGTTGATAGTGGATTGGCGTCATGGAGTAGCTTATATCATGAATTTGAATAAATAAACAAAATAATAAGATTATAAACACAAGCAAATCCATCTAAATACATGTATTATTCATTATTTAATGGCACCTATATTTCATTTTTTTATCAATTTTCACATGTATCAATGTGAAAAGTTGGTGGTAAATTACTTTTTCAATTAAAAAAAAAAGAGGCAAAATGAGACACATGGAACCCTCAAAATGGAAAAGAAAAAAAAATTATGAACACAAAGAATGCGACATTCCAATAATTAAAGGATGAATTAATTTTTTATTAAGCAACCATGATGACCATTTGCACGAAGACCTAATGTTTAAGGACAACTGTCAAGAGATCGGTATACTTATAGATAGGAATAATGAATAAAATATACATAAAAGAAAATGAGATCTTTCAAACATTAAGTTCTGTTTGGCATGATTTTACACAAATTTAGAACTCAATATGAAAAAGTAAAATATATTTTTAAGAATAACTTTCGGAAAAATGATGTCGTTTCAAGTTAAAAAAGAAAAAGAAAAGGAAAAAAAAGGCATAACATAACGCTTTTTTGTTCATTATAATAGATGCTTATGGACAGTAAAATACCATTTAGTTTTGGTATATGCAAGAATAATACCCATGCACTATCATGGTTAAATCTATATAATATGTTTTAATATTTAATTTAAATAATTAAAAATTCTAGACGTAAAATAAAATTTATTAACACTGACTGTGAGAATAATATATATATATATAATTGAGTTTAAATATATCCTATGAATATTTTTATTTTGATGAATAAAAACATACAATTAATTATTTAAAAATAAAATAAAAAATTATAAATAAATTTATTTAATTTTAGTAAAATAAGTATATAAAAAATAAAAAGTAATCATTAATTATGGGGAAAAAATTATTTTGAGTAAATAATAAAAAAAAGGGGTGGTTTGAGCTCACACTAGGACCATCTATATGAGCTTGGTTGTCTCTAGGCCCACGCGATTGGGGGTGAAAGTGCATCTCAATCACAAAAACATGCAGGAATTTGTTGTAAGAAAAATTAAAGTTGGAAACCGTTTTATATAAAATAAGAACTCGAAGAACCAAATATAAGCAAAGGAAAAAAAGGCATAAAACAACACCGTTTTGTTTTATCCGCTGTAGCAGGAATTTGGCAACAATAAAACTACATTGATTTTATTATTCAGTATACATAAATAAAATATACTAATCAAAAATAAAAAAAGCAAAAGAAAACTAAAGAATTGAATAAAGCAGATTCTGTCGTTGTCTCATATTCTCTTCATTGGCTGTATATATTTTCAGACTGACCCAAGTTGCATTGCCATTCCTAGAGCTCGAAGTTGAATCGTTAAAGATGGAACTCAACTTTTCAATCTTTATCAAGCTTTTCATAACACAATAATACCTTTTCAGTTCTTTGTGTTATCTAATTAATTCTACACACAAACAATATCTAAATTTTAGATGGATATGTAAATTATTAAAAATAACAAATTTTGTGACACAAATGATAAGATGAATGTTACAAAAAGAATTATTAGGTGATCTTCCAATAATTATGCTAATTTCCATTTCTAGAAGGTCGCATTTTATTTGATGTCATAATATTGATTCTCTTCTTTAACTATTAGAATGTCATTTCTTTTTCTTCTAAATACATAATTGTCTTACTATGGTAAGAGGAAAAAAAAAAAAAAAACAACTTAAAAAAAAAAAAAACTAAAAGCCCATAAAAAAAATATTTATTATAGGGACAAAAATCAAATATAATAAAATTTTATTGACCAAAATAAAAAGAATATTACAAAACAAGGACTAAAACAAAAATAAAAGCCAAAAGAGAGGCCTAGCCATAGCAAGAGAAGAAAAAGAGTGCTACAGAAATGAATAGTGTTATGTGAGGGAATGAACAGTAATTGTCACTGTTCAAAACCCTCACGCCTTTTAGTTTATAATAATTAGGTTTTTTGTCTACGCTATGTTGTAGATTATATAGAATACGAGAAATAATTTGAAAAAATCATTTCATTTTGATGGTTTTTGCAATGTTATGGATCCATAAAAATATATGAAATCAAAAGTAAAAAAAAAATCTAATTTTATAATATTTTAATCAATTTTTTATATTTAATTATTATGCTTGTGCTACCTCACTCTACGTCCACCTCATTTACTCAACCGTTGTTGTTAGCACTCATTTTTAACTCTTAATATTTCATGACTTTTTCAAAAAAAAAAAATCAAAGAAATTTCATTTTAAATATTTTTGTTCTCGTCAAGTTTATTTTTTCAAAATTAAAATTTTTTATTAGTTTTTATGCATTTTTATAATTTTTTTGAGTTATTTATAAGCATTAAAAAATAGAGAAAGGAAAAGAAAATAAAGAGAAGAGAAAAGAAAAGAAAGAAAAAGGAAAAAAATGACATATGGGTGTCAATTAAAACAATTGAGAAAATATGGACCAAAAAAATTTAACTATGGAGCATAATTGAAAGAATTGAAACCCAATAGCCTTAAATTGCGGACAAATTCAGAAAAAAATTAAAACGATTAAAAGAAAGGAGCAGAAATAAACTCAATTGAAGAAAAAATTTTAAAAGTTAAAAGAGTGCCAGTTCATAATGAAAAGTGCACGCAACATAAAGAACTAAAAAGGAATCTAACTAACAACTCTAAACACTACATATAAAAACCCATTTTTTCCTCATCCTCTTCTTTTTTCTCCAGCTAGGCCCCGATATTAAATAACCCTAGAAAAATCCTTCATCTTCTTTTAGCCACAACTCGTCACTACACCCACTATCCCCATTACCGTTCACCACCCATAAATAACCATCTTCGCCAACCTCAAGCCCGAACAACCATCCTACTATCCAGGTCATGTCGTCCTGTCTTCAAATTCACCCGTCATAGTTTTCCTCGTCATGCTTCACGCCATAGATCTACCCGAACCCACCATCTCCATCACCTAAACAACTCATTGGTAGTTCTTACCGATTCAAATTTCTAGACGTAAGTTTCTATGTTTCAAGAATTCATTTCCTTTTATTTTCTTGATTTCTCTCATTTTTAATTCCTTACTTCGTTTTTTCTTTTCTTCTTCTTTCTTTCTTTAAATCTAACATAATAAAGATTCTTTCTATTTTTAAATTCTTGAGTTAGATTCAGATTTAGAGCAACGTATTCCTTAATTTTTAAGGAAAAAAGCCCTTTAATTTATTTATTTAATAAAATTTAGCAATCCCTTTTTGTTGAATTCTCTCCCATTTCCTTTTTTTATTTCCTCTATAAAAATGCTCTCATTTTGCATTATGGCATTATGGATTGATTCATAATTTACTAAAAAAAGAGAAGAGTAAAGAAAATAAATTTATTTAAATTTGATGTAATTATTGTATTTTTTTTTTTTTAGCTTGGCATTAGATTTTTTGTTGCTTGAATTGTAATCTTTGTTTTGCTTTGTTTTAATATGAATTTTAGATTGCATTAGAAAAATGAAGAAATGCCGGAAGACAAGAGCATCCGACAAGACGAGAGGGGAGCATGTTAAATGGCTAAAAAATCACTTAAAATTAACAAAAAACACCACCGATTTAAATCATATAAATACCACCTAATGAATAGTTATTTGTGAGTGTGTGAACAATGTAGAAACAGAAAAACCAACACTTGTTTTAGAGTTCATTGTAATAAAAATAGTGCTTGAGGGCCTATTGACCCAAAAAAAAAAAAAAGAGGTCCCATACTTTAATTTCATTTTTTCCTAGTCTCACTAACCTCAATGTTTTTATTTATGCATTTTTATTTTCTTTTTAGATTTAATATTTTGAATTTTCTTGAATTTACTTAGTAAAATGTGTAATTTTAGAATTTATTTCAACAAATAGATTAGGCAATTAATAGGTGGACGAATTATCGAATCTTTTAATTTTTAGGGACCGGTGACAGTTCTCCCATCGACAAAAAAAATATAAAAATAATAAATAATAATAAAAGAGTATTATGAAAATAAAAGAAAAAAATTAAAAATTGAGAAAAAAGAAAAAATAGAAAATCTTAAATTGTTTTTTTTAACAACGTCTCGTATCTAATAGAGACTGTTGTTAACCAAAATTCATTTTAGTAATTAAAGAGTTCTTGGATATCGATTATGTCGAGATTTAAAGTGGATCCGATATTTAAACCGACGTGTCTTCCGACGAAGGAATCCGACGATTAGTTCAATACGATGCCACAAACAAAAATAAAAACTTAATTTGACATAAAAAATAATAAAAAGAGCCCGAAATTTCAACTATGATTAATTTTGTCAAAAATAAAATTTTTTTATGAGATAAACTTTATGACTAAACTAGATATGATACATTTCTTAGAAAATGACGTTTTTGGGTGTCGATATCTTTCTAAAAGCGACACTCAAAATTATAATCAATTCCCTATCCTAGAATCTCTACACTAGTGTCTACTTTAGGTTCTTAGTTTTTATAATATTAGGTGACGATTCCAAAATCAATAATAACTCTTATCCCCATAAATTATAAATAATTCTGAAATCATTAAAATCTAAAGTTTTTGAGAGTCTCGTCGGATGTCGGATAACGATAAATAGTAAGAATTGAAACTTATATATACACACATACATAATGTAGTGTCCATCTCTCTATATTACTTTTTCCAATATAATTAAAATAGAAGGGAGTAGGAATTGATGAAGACTTTTAAATGATTCTTATCAAGTATTCTGAGCATACCCATTAGAATTTTTAAAAGCAATTGCTAGTTTTATTTGGCTTTTACTTTATAGGATACCAATCTCCATCTACCTTTGGGAAAAAAAATTAATTTTTTTTTTTTATAATATCACATATTTCTTATGCCAGTTTTTAATCAACGTTCCTACCATGCCACCCGCAAGTGTACAGCTCTGGAAGGTGACATTTTATAGATATCTTAATTTATTATCTCCTTTATTAATTATTGGAATCTCACCTTCTTTCTCTTCTTTTATGAAGTGCATAATTTTTTTTACATTTTTTTTTTTCATTTCGAGGTTCCACGTGTTTACTTTTCTTTTTCTTCAAGACCCTGTCGCAAAAAGACAACGATGGATTGTTAGTCTCCTAGCATGTAATATTCTAATCCTCTCTCTCTCTATATATATATTGTAGAGCAGGTTGGAATTCCAATAATTCATTGTTTTTTAATTATTATGTTAGGAGTACTTACATTTTTTATAAAATATTTTCTATATTAAATAATGAATTATATTTCCATATCATTTTTAAAAAAATTTAATAAAAAGTTAAATATCCCTATCATTATCTCGAGAACGGGTTTCAAGGGCATTTTCTTTAAATGGTAAACCTCATATTAGTTTCCGTGTGTATGTGTGTATATATATATATATATATATTCAATTGAGTCCCCCAAGTATTGAGTTTATCAATTAGGTCCCCTTTCCATGAATAATTTTGAAAAGACAATGATGGATTGTTAGTGTCCTAGCTTGTAATATTGTAATCTTATTAATAATTATCCAATTTTTTTTTAATTATATGTTAGAAGTAGTTAAATTTCTTATAAAATATTTTTTTAACTAAATAACGAATTATATTTCCATATCATAAAAAAAGAAAAGGTTAAATATCTCTATCATTATCTTGATAACGGGTTTCAAGTGCATTTTCTTAATTTAAATGGTAAACCCCATATTAGTTTCCTATTATATATAGGTTTTCTATTGAGTCCCTCAAATATTGAGTGTGTCAATTAGGTCCCCTTTCCCTATACCTTTCTTTAATTAGATCCTCATGTTATAATAATTGGAGATATCTTTGAATTCAAAAAAAAAAAAATGCTAACCTCATCTTTTTTAACTAACCTTATATGTTGCAATGTTACTCTATTCAACAAGTTAAGAACATATGTACAATCGGACTATGAACTTGCTACAATTTTGCCTTAATTTTATCTAACTTGTCTTAAAATAAAATTAATAATTGAATATTGTTGTGCTTAAGATTTGATGAAATTAATTAAGCTAAGTTAGAAAAGATGTTACTAGCATATGTACTGTTTAATGTTGGCTCCAATTATTTTAACAAAACTATTTAATTGAGGAAAGATAGATGGAGAGGGGACCCAATTGATAAAATGGATACTTACTGAACTCAATTAAGAAAGAATATTCTATATGAGACTAAAATGACGTTTTCCCTTCAACTAAATAAAAAATGCACGCGAAAGCCGTTAACATTTGTCTCGTTAACTAGGACAGAGTTTTTGAACGGGGATGGCTTGCATGCAATTTTTATCATCCAACGGTCATTATCTTGCCAAATATAACCCATGGGATTTGGGAGAATGATTTATATATATATGTTTTTTTGACTGAAAAGTCCTCGTCTCCCACTCCCGGTCCCCCCTATGTGCGAGATTAATTATGTCACTATATTATTATTAATTATCATCTTGATTTTTGTTTAAAGGTTTAAAATATTTTTATATCTATTATTCATTTATTTATTTATTTATCAATGTTTTGAGTATTTTTGAAAAAGTTTTTGATATTAAATCAATTACTTTGAAGTTAGGTTAGTTGTCACACAAACAAAAAGAAAAAAGTTTTCAAAATTAAAAATCGAATGATAAATCAAAAACATCATTTTTAACACTCTACTTACATTTTTTTATGATCGTATTATTTATTAATTAATAAGATCTATAGGTTATTATCAATTGTCACGTGTATCAATGTCAAAAGTTTGACGGTAAATTATTTTTTTAATAAAAGAAAAAAAAAGACGCATGGAATCCCTAAAATAAGGAAGAAAGAAAGGAAATTACGAAAACAAAGAAGGTGACATTCCAATAATTAAAGGATGAGGTAATTTTCGTTCTACGACGATGGAAACTATTTGGTCAGAAACCTAATGTTCAAGGACAACTATCATGAGATTGCACATTTGCGCGTAAGGAGAAAAAAAGGAAAAAAAACGTTGGGGACCTAATCAAGATTGCCTATATAGGTTGGGGACTTTTTTGATGGTGTCCAAGGAAAAAAATAATAATAATAAATGAGGAAAATTGACTAATGGAAAGAAAGAAGATGAATTTTAGAGAGTGTTAATGATATACCGTAACTGAAGAGAGCCAATAAGTTTACAAGAAGAAGAACTCTAGACATAGTAGAAGAGTGCAAAAACTACAATACTTTACAAGGTTTCAAAACACAAAATAAAATAGCTGAAATAGAAAAAGCAAAACCGAAACGACTGCCGCAAATAAGGTTTCTATAAAAACCAGTGTTCCTTTGATTCAACCGAGAGGAGAAAATTATAGGCAGACAGCCTCCTTTGTTTTCAAAAATGCCGCAGCTGGGCTCAACTTCAAAAGTCGAGGTAGGATTATAAAAAGTTGTTAATTTCTATTATCTAATAATATTGTTTAAATATTGGATACTCATGACACTTAGGTTTTGTTCTATAATAGACTAATTAATAGACATAAGGAACATGATTTTGTTTTCAATTTTCTGTAACATATTTATTTATACGTACCTTTAAGGGTTTGTCTAATCCGTGCTCTTAGAACAAGTGTAATTCTAACAGTTTTAAATCGTGGACTGTTAAAAAAACAATCACGATCGTTATTACAAATTTTAGCTTATTCTAGTACTAATGATAACAAGATGTTCTAATACCATTACGTATCGGCTGTTATTGAAATCTACTTATGGTTTTATGAAAGTTAATATTTCTAACATTTGGACGTTTTAATACCTTATTAATGTTTATCTTAGGGCATGTTTAGTAAAATTCATGTATCGATTTAGCTTTGTAACTTCTTTTTGTTTTTTTCTTTTTTTCCTCTAGTGTCCCGACGCAGTAAGGGATGTAATCAGCGAGCTGCCTGATGATATTCTGTATTCAATTATCAAGTGTTTGACACTGAGGGATGCTGTCAACACAAGCGTATTATCACACAGATGGAAGGATGTCTACTTATGCCTGTCTACTGTCCAATTCGACTGGGGTAACATGTTCCCAAGGTCTAAAAATTCTATGTCTTGCAGAGAGTGCAACGAGAAATTTGTCAGAGGAGTTAATCAGTTCATAGACTCATACCGGGGTTCACGAATAGATTCTTTCAGTGTATCATTCTGTCTTGGAGATCACTTCACTAAGGATATTGATCAGTGGATCAGTTTTGGCTGTAGAATGCGAGCCAAAACGATAAAAATTCACCTGTACTGTCAACATGACTGTGCTAAGCCTAGTGGTCATGATATGTACGGTGAACGAACTAAGGGGAAGTATGTTCTTTGTAGGAAGTTTTCTGGGAGTAGAAATACCAGTTTAAAGCATCTGGAACTGAAAGGATGCATTTTAGGACCAAAAACTGCAGACCAATTTAGCTGTTTAGAGACACTCAAGTTTATTTGTTCACATTTGGCCTTTTGTAAAATGGATGGTTTGGTCAACCTGAAAGATTTGTCACTCGTTTATTCTAAACTTCCTGCAAAATTATGCCTAGGATCTTTGGTTCATCTTGAAAGTCTTCTTCTTGCCGATTGCGCTGGGATAGAGGAAGTTCAGCTGTCCAATAATGTGAATCTCCACAGTGTTATATATGGCTGTACTCAAGATGTGAAATTTGATTTTTCCGGAGCTCCTAACTTGGAGAGATTTTATCATGGTGGTAAAGGCAGAAGAGATCAGCTGCACTATATTTTCAATCATCTTCAAAAATATGCTCCTGCGCTGAGGACTTTTTCTATTAATACCACATTTGATTCAGTACGTGAATGGAAATCCAAACAGCATGGTTTTCTTGTTTCTTCAAAAGGCTTTTATCTGAAGCTTGTCAATTAAAAACATTTGTTGTTCTCCTCTGCAGGTTCGACGTATCCCAGAAAGCATTATCTCCTTCAAACAAGTTACAGAATTAAATCTGATGTTCTGTTCCGATACGGAGTTGGATTTCTTGAAACTTATTTCTATTTTTCGAGGATTTCCCAGTCTGCGTAATCTTAATATAGTGGTAAGTGATACAGTTTATGCATCCTGAGAAGGGTCTTTTCTTTTTCTTTTTTTATTTTCACTCTCAGACGATTACTTTTTCGGCCTACAATTTCATTATGAGAAGTATTTTTTAGTTAGATAGGAAAGGAGTGACTACTGATTCTAATTGATATCACTGTTACCTGCTATGATTACAGAGGCTTTATTCGGAAGAATCAGACCAAGGCAATTTTGTGCCTGATGGAGGTGTGGATGAGCATGCAAAGGAAGGTGAAAGTGGTGGAGTTCATGGCACATCGAATCAGATTGAGTTCGATAATTATTTGTTAAAACGTGCTATTTTCGCTGAGCAGATGTTTCTCAAGCCAGGAGAACGAATTTATGTTGCAAGCAGAAAATCACTGCAGGAAGGAAAATGCGGAAAGGTTTCTAAGATAATGCTAGAATTCTCTGAAGAAGCAGTGATATACATCCGATGAATATAAAAAAGCAGTTCAGGAATTGTTTTCTAAATCATCTCTTCTTCTTTCTTTCTTTCTTCCTTTTTTCCATTTTTCATTTATATATAACCATGACTTTGGTTTTAAAATGGACCGATGACCCATTAGTGTAGGTTCTTAGATTAAAACGGTGTCCGTCTTTATGCCTAAGAATTATACAGAGTGTGATCATCCTTCTATGTAAAGCTGGATAAATCAATTGCCTGATTTCACCTCTTGTTTTATCTGAAATTTCCTGATATTCTTATACCTTAAGTGACTTAAAAAGCCACCAAGGAGAAAGTAAAACAAGGAGGAACAGACCGCAAAAATGGGACAAAACCAGGGACATTTAAATAATAAGAGAACACGATGAAATGGCTGATAAATCTTGAAGCAAGTGGCCAAGAGGGCAGTAGCTAATCAGAAGATGCAGAATAACCAATCATTCCAAAAGATAACGAGTGAACAGGCAATGTAGACACTCCAAAAGTCACAAATCCACCAGAATAACCAAAGATTTCCTGATTTCAATTTTGTTTTTTCTTAAATTTCCCGATATTTTTAGCTTTAGACTTCCTCATTCCAAAACTACCTTTTTTTTTTTCTTTCAAGGGCCTTGTTTTCTTTAGCAGTGTATAATGGTGAATTTGAAAATTCTGAACTCCAAAATATTATTGTTATTCTTCACCAATTCTTCTTCTAAATTAGTATCTTAATCAAGTCATGTAGATTGATTACGCTAAAAATATTTAGGAGGTCTCTGAACTTGAAGAGTAGTAGCTAGGATTTGGAGGAGGGCTAGGTCTCAAAATTGTCTAGACTGGACGTCTTGTACTCATTTTTGCTGGCCCTTGTGAATCTTTGGGCTTTGGCCTATTTCGGTAATGAAAATGCTTTTTCAGAAATAACATGCTGCTGTTCATTTTCGGACAATAGAGGAAACACTTTCATTGATGAAAAAGGAAGGACAAAGCTTCTTACACCAAGTAAGTAACATGGACAGTAGAAACCCATCAGACAAAAGTAGCTATCTACCAAGTACCAAGGTAAATTTATTACACACAATACGAATTGCTAGATCAGCTAAAAAGGACCGAATTCGAACAACCAATACCATCATTACCAAGGAGCAACTGATGCATCCCAACAGTACTGTCGTTCTGAATTCTAGTAAAACCCCACTATCAGTGTATAATTTAGAACTCTAGTGTGTTGAGAAGCTAAATTAAACAAGACAGGCTTCTTTCTTGTCAACAATGCAGCAGCCATCTAAGTTACTAAAGAACGACTTCAGCTGCCAATTAAGGTATGTAAAATTCACTTCCCATTTGGTTTCTTTTTGATAGTCATATACTGGATAATGTTAATATGCAACAACAATGGAAGGGATGTAATAAGCAAGCTGCCAGATGAGGTTATGTATCTAATTATCAAGCATCTGGCACTAAGGGATGCTGCAAAAGCAAGTGTATTATTACATAGATGGAAGGGTGTCTACTGTTACCTGAAAGACCTCAAATTTGGTTGGTTCAACATGTTTCAGGATGCTGGAAACTCTGATTTTTGGGAAATTTGTGAAAGTCCTTGTAGAGAGTACAGGGACAAGTTTGTTAGAGCTGTTAATCAGTTCCTAAATTTTTATCATGGCACCAAAGTTCGCAAATTCAGGGTCTCTTTCTGTCTATGTTGTGATTTCTCGAACGATATTGATCGATGGGTCAGTTTTGCCATTAGAATGGGTGTTGAAAAGATGTGTATTAAATTCTACTGTGAGAAATACTGTTGCAAGAGAAGGGATGAAGAGTTTGGTGGGCAAAGTGAAGAAAAATATATTTTCAAGAGTGAGCTTTTTGAAGGTAGAGAAAGCAACAATTTAAAGCAACTGGACTTGGTTGGATGCAGCATAGGACCAAATTTAACTAGCCAATTCAGCTGTTTAAACGCCCTCAGCTTGGTTGATGTACCTTTCTGTTCTTATATGACATGAAAAGCTTGTTTTCTTGTTTGATCAACCTCAAAGATTTGACCTTGATCAAATGTAGCCTTCCAGGGAAATTATGCTTTGGCTCATTAGCTCTCCTGAAATGTCTATACATTGCAAGTTATACTTGGAGAGATTTCGTTGCATTGCAAGTGAAAGACAACTACACTGTTCTTATGCTAAGGAATAACTTTGTCAAGGCCTGTCATAAGGCAAACTGCTTCTGTAAGTTTGTGTTGGTTTGGCTATTTTTCTGCTGCTGTTACGCTTGTGAGAATCTAGTCATTTGCTGCAATTTTTGGGTTGCAGGTCGTGTTTTGCTGACCAAGCTGTTTGTGACTTTATTTACTATTTGGCTTTGCTTTTCCTTTGTCTCGGCTACGCAGAGGCGCTCTGCTCTACTTTGGGTCAACTATGTCTAGGCTAGGCTATACCATGTTGCCAGGAATCTATTTTGGTTTCTGTTATTTGGGCTCCCTGATCTCACATGGATTCATGTGGTTTGTTCATAATTAAGCTTTAGAATTCATCAATAGATAATCATTTGGGCACTAATCATCACCTATGCTTATTCTATTCAATTTCATAAATAAAACAAGAACAATCTAAAGTTTATTCTCTATAGTCCAATGAAAGATTATAGTTTGAAAAAACAATGCATGTTTGGATGGTTTAACTCAATCTTGATTCCGAAAAAAACAAATTAAATAAGAAGCAATCAAAGGTTAGTCAATGATCGGAAGCAGTTTTGTCAGTTAAAAGATCAACTGTAGAGACCATATGCTTCACATTCCCTAACGTGTTTTCCACCTCAAATCTCCTTCAAATCAGCCTCTGCACATGACATGATTCCTTTTCAGCATGGAAACTGCAAGAAATTATTTGTTCATAAAAAAAATCGAACACATATATATACAAATGCTATACAGCAGCAACTAATCACCAATGCCTAATGGAAGTTAGAGCCTTGTTTTCATGTGGGGCATTAGGAACCTTCCTCCTCTTCTTCTGTTCTTTCCCTTTCCACTCCTTATCAGACTCAATCCATGAAAATTCCCCGAAACTTCTTTCGAGACGTTTATTAACTGCAACTCCTGGTAACATAGTGAAGCAGTATTTAGTACCCCACAACCTTGAGAGATCAAAGCTAGGACTCCCTCCTCTTAAATGGAGCAAGAAGCTAGCAAATTTTGCTTCGTCATGGGCTCATCGGCGACAACAAGATTGCGCATTGATTCATTCGAATAGCGATTACGGAGAAAATTTGTTTTGGGGTAGCGGCAAGGACTGGAAATCTGGTGATGCTGTTGCTGCTTGGACAGAAGAGAAAAGTTACTACAATTACGAAACAAATAGTTGTAGTCACAACAAAGATTGCCTGCATTATACTCAGATAGTTTGGAGGCAAAGCAGGAAGGTTGGTTGCGCAAGAGTTGCTTGCAGAAGTGGAGATACATTTATCACATGTAACTATGATCCTCACGGTAATGTCATCGGCGAAAAGCCCTTTTGAACCGATAAGTTTTCACATGATTTCATATGGATTTTGTCTGTCAGAAAGCAAGCATTTCATCAGAACTGAAGCATTTTGTTCTTGGGCTATCTAATCTATCATCCAATTATGAATTTAGCTCCCAAAAGATGTTATTAATTAGGTCCTTAATGCTTCAAACATTTGTCACTTGGGTCCTTATGTTTGTATCTATTAATATTTTTCATTTAATGTATGTATTTTATGAAATAAAATAATTCAATTTTAAATACTGTTAATGAAACATACAAAAATACATGGATAGAGAAACAAATGGAGAATTATCTAAAGCATTAGAGACCAATTGGTAAAAATATTTTGTTTTGGGATGATATTAAGAATCAGGTAATATATTAGGGGTTGATTTTAAGTTTTCCATTAATTAAAACAGTCTGACAAACCAGGCATGTGGGCTGAGGAATGCTTGTGATTAACAACATGCAGCTCGTTGAAAGTCAAAATCACCATTCAAGTGGCACTCTCACTAATAATTTGTTTAGTGTACGAAGCAAGGAGAGGGATTAGGGCAATATTATTAATGTATCAAGGACCGTTTTGAATAATTCATGAAATAAAGGTAGCACTGCCACACATGTTTTTATTTTTTTCCCTGCTGAAAAGTGTCTTGATTTTTTTTTTTTTTCTGGTTGAAATAGGGATAATTATATATAGAAAAATCACGATAACCTTAATTTTTCACTAAATAAATATAAATATAGATTATATATTCCTAATGATTTTGAAGGGTAAATTCCAGTTTTAGCCTCCATAAATTTATTTTCCAAGGTCAATTCTAAAATTTGAGTAAAATATGAATTAGTCCCTTTAATTTTGTAAAACAAATTAAATACTCTTTCTTATCTTAAAAAATAATTAATTATTTCATTAATCGATATTGAATATGATTAATTTAATATTACTTTGTTTCAAAAAATATATATTTTTCTCATAAATTCTTTCATCTTTTTACTCATTTTTAAAATTTTTTACTTCTTAAAACAAAAACAAAAATGAAATAAATTAAAAAAATAACAAAAAAAAATTTAATTTACAAACAGATTTAAAAATAGAATGATCAATTAATTAGTTTTTGAAATTAGAAGAAATATTTAATTTATTTTCAAATTTTTCAAAAGGTCTATAACAATTTAGGCCTTAGAAGGCGGCGTAGGAGGTGATGGCCACCTCTGGGCCCAAGAAGTTGGAATTGCGTTTTACTGGGTCGACTGTCGAGAGAAAAGTCTTATTTTTTCTTCTTGCTCAATCTGACGGCCCCATCACTCGAAAACTCTTTATTTCCCATCCACCTTCTCCATTTTGAGGTCTCTGCTTTTTTTTTTTTTTTTAAACCTTCTCTTTATTTCTTAATCTACTTCAATTATTTTTAGTCTTGTTACTCACCCATTTGTTCCCTCCAATTCCTTGAAATCTTATTATAGTTCCAATTAATTTCATAGGCTAATTGTGAATATGTTTTTATATAATAAAATAATTCTTCAATATATCGTTATGTCTTTAATTGAATAATCTTTATTTTTCAATACACATTAAATTTTTAATCTATCATTTAAGTATGATTCTCGAATTAAATCATTAAAATTAATCACGTAATTTGTAAATAAAAACCTTCTATTTATCTTATTTGTAATGACATTTTGAAAATAAAAAATAATTATATACAAATCTCGAAACTAATTCCGTTAGTTTAACCTCAAAATTATATCTATATAATAAATTAAAAATTTAACATATATTTTAAAGATAAAATCAACTTAATTACAATTACAAAAACAAATTAAAAAATTATTTTATTATATCAAAACAGATTCGACCATCAATGTTAATTGCATTAAATTAAAGTGAATGTACACTAAAATTGAACGGCTTTTCTCATCAATCATCTAAAGTTCTTTGATATCAAACCACTTCAAAATGTATAGCCCTACTCCCACCTAATTCTCTTTTTTTTTTTAAATAAAAAAAAAACTGTCATATTATATAGTAAAATGGAAGATAATTGAGCATTTAAACTCCCAAGAAAACATATTTTTTTATGGAGACATTCGTTCACCGAATCTATATCAAAACTCAAGCTTGGGTTACAAATAAAATATGCATCGATTTTCCCATTCTCCTAATTAAACAATCCAAGAAAAAACAACTTCCAAAAAACACTACCATACTACTACTAGAACACCATATAAAACTGCCTAACAAAACAAAAGTTAACCACATAAAGTATGGCTCGAACTAAGAGAAAAAAAACTCCACAACCCACCCTAGCCATACAATAATTGCTCAAACATTTAGGCATAAAGCACCTGACAATTCGAAGGAGAGAAGTCTTGGAAAGCTTTTGGAGCAACCACAACTTGCCATTTCACACTGAATTCCCCACTGTCTCCTTCAAAAACATTCCCCATTGCCACGTTCAACCCACACGACGCCACGTATACTTTCCCTTCCACGCCGTTCACGGCTAACGGCCTCTGCATTGCCTCCCTAGGGAACCTGTCCCCACCCACGCGCTGCCACGTGTCGAGATCAGGGTCGTACACTTTCATTGGACAGTCACCGTGTTCTGGTATCACAAACAGCCTACCATAAAGCACCACGCTCAATCCCGTCCACCCCTCTCTCATCCCACAACTCATCTCTTGCCACGCGTCCTTTTCAGCGTCGTAGATCCCTGCCCTAGGTGAACGCGCGAAGGGCCACGTCCACCCTTCCGTTACATACATTTTGTTCCCCACCACAGCCGAATCGTACCTGGCCAGTCCCGTGCGCATTTTAGCAGCTGGGCCCCACTTCCCGTTCTCTGAGTTGTAACATTCAACGGCTGTGATTGAATCGCGAATCCTAGACACGCTACCTCCAACGGCTATGATCTTCCCGTTGGCATTCCCGGCAGCGAAAAAGGATCGTGCGGTCGACATAGGGGGGCCTGTGGACCATTGGTTTGTTGATGAACTGTAGATAAAGGTAGTGTCCATTGCAGTCTTTGTGTCTGACCGCATCCCACCCAAAACCAACAGCTTCCCTTGACGTGGCAATGAGGTGCATGCAAACGCTGCTGGAGAAACAGTCTTTGGGCAAGGCACGGGAGGTAAAACAAACCAACGGCCAGATCGAGGGTCTAAAGCTTGCCATTGAATCCTACCCGTTGATTTATGAAAAGCGAAAACAAAAATATAGGGCAAAGAAAGGGATAGAGACTTCTTGGAGAGGAGAAAATAAGGGTCTGTTGTTGCTCTGTTCCATGATGAAGAAACCGAACGTACCAAAGCTTGGTATGGATAAGGAAGGTAAAGAAGGCACAATTCTGCTACCTCATCGGGCAATCCTGGAATCAAAGGCTCAAAATCTTCCTCATCTTCCTCTCGATTGTCCCTCGAAAAAGACCTCAAATCTGCCATTTCTTGACACTGAACTGAAAAGGGGTGTCACCAAATTTATAGTCCAGGAGAAATTAAACAAGAAGGAAGGAAAAGGGCAGGTGATGTGTATGATGACAAGGTAAGATGACTACTTTACAGGGCAAGATGGTTGGCTTGTCAAAAAAGTGAATAATTCTTGACTAGTTTAATGTTATTTTAAGGACGGTGTTTTTGTTTTCTTAGAAACCGGAATACGAGGGTTGGGATTTATAGTAAGTTACAAAACAGAAGCATCAAATGACGTACCATAATTCCTGCAAATCATGAAATCATCACTTGAAGAAACTCCAAGAATTCACTGAAATCATGTGCCGGTGATGTAACTGGAACTGTTCTTGATTGATGATGAGCAACTCTAGTTTTTGGGTGGGTTGGTTTTGAGATTGGAAATTTGGAGAGAGGAATTTGGACGTAGAAGAGTTGTAGTGTAGGAAAAATGGCTGTAAGATGCAACTACCAAGGGTGAGATTAGTATAATAGCTTTAATAATTAGGGCGTATGGCCCAGCTCTCATGGTGCTGTTGCGGATGAGATCTCATTTATTTGCTTGATATGATGTGTTAGAGTGGAACTGTCCACTTGAATTTTTGTGACTAAACTATTATTCTCTTTTTCGTTTCTAAATAATTTTTTTTATTTATATTTGTTTTTGAAATATTTTTTAGTAAAACTTTAAGCGATGTTTTTTTTTAAAATACTCTATTTCGATGACTAACAATTCTAAAAAAAAGTATTTTAATAAAATATAAATAAATAAAAAATATTGATATGACATGATAATTATTACTCGTGTCTAAAAAAAATTTTCCTTACTTTTTGTACAAATTAAGATGGGTGTTAATTATTAATTATTTTCATTTTTTTGTTAATAAAATATTATTTTTATCACTAATCCAATAAAAAAATTTGATAACTAACATTTCTAAAAAAAAGTATTTTGATAAAATATAAATAAATAAAAAATATTAATATGTCATAATAGTTACTATATGTGTCTTAATTTTTTATACGGGTTAAGAAGTTTATTAATCATTATGCTATTTTCACTATTTTTTGTTCATATTTTTTTAAAAATATATATTTTTCAGAATTATATTTGGATAATACTTTATAAAATGAATTTTAATTAAGGATATTTTTAAAAATATATATTACTTAAAGTTCTAACTAATACCTATTTTAGAACAAATATAAATAAAAAATTAGACAACGTCTCTGGAACCCAAAGAGTAATAATCTTTTTAATCTATATGAAAAGTAAAAAAAAAAAAAAAAAAAGAACAGTTTTATCCCAAAACAAAATGTTTTATCAACTGGGTCTCTAGTGTTTCAAACATTGGTTGTTGGTTTCTTCTATCCACGTTTGCCAATGGCTTCCTTTTAAGTTTATGGTTTATGCAAAAAGTTAAAAAGATAATTTGACAAGAAAACACTAATAGATTTGGAAAGAAGGATTCAATTAAGAGTATCTAAGACTTTAGGAACCTGATTGATGATTGTGAATCACGTAAAAGGTTGCGTGTTAGCTTGAGGTTTCCCTTTAATTTTTCCTTTGGTTTATAGACGGATTCGTTAGATGGTAGGCAAAACGCCATAAAATATTATTTTTATCACTAATCCATAACTAGACTAATCTAAGCTAACGTAACAAGCAAATTTATATTTGATTAACTGAATTTAACAAGTAAAACTCTTTTAGATTTAAATTTATTGAAAAAATTTCAAAAAAAAACTATTAATTCTTACATTGCTAACTTATCTAAAACACATACGTGCTAATATGATTAATAAAAATTTAATTTATATATTTTTTTGGTTTAATGTTGAAATAACGTGCTAATATGATTAAAAAAACATAAAGTTTTTATATTTTTATGCAATAAACCTATCTTTTATTTCCATCATTTATGAAAAAAGATTTTCTACATAAGTCTTCACATGCTCAACTTAGTGTCGTTAGGTTAGAAAGTCCATCAATAATTCAATATGGAATTATAGGAAAATATGAGTTTTTTTTTAATTAGAATAAAAAAAAGTATTTTAACTAAATAAATTTGATAACCACCTTTCTGATGTAATTGGTTTTGTCTTGCACGTAAACTTCTAATTGATTATGCGTACTTTACAACTTTTGACAATTTTAATTTATGCCTCCTAAACTTTTTTTTCTCCATTTAAAAATTTATTTTTTTGCCATTTTAAGTGTGAACAGAATTTAGCATTTCATAGATTTTAATAACATTCATTATGAGTCAATTATAAATTAGTCCCTCTAGTTTTAATAATAAATCAATTAGTCAATTTCGTTTCAAAAACTATTATTTAATTATTTAATCATTGCTGACCATATTGAATTTAATATCATTTTTATTTCATAAAATCTCTTATTTTTCAAGCATTCATTCCATCTATTTTTATTTTTTTTGTAAAATACAAGGATTAAATAATTATTTTTTAAAATAAAAAGGACTCATTAAATAGTTTGTCAAAACAAGAGGGACTAATTTATAATTTACTCCATTCATTATGTGCCCTTTTTTTTTAATCAAAAAACCGGCCCCACCCACCAGTCCTTTTCCTAGGTATTTGGTTTGAATTAAGGTTAGATTCTATTTGTCGAACTTATTAGAATAATTGAAATCATATCTGGTATGATTTTATGGCTGATTTGATGAGGCTAGAGGACCATATTGCACACGAAAAAAGTGAATCAGGTCACCATCAAAGTAGATACCGGTTAATTTGCGATCAGCCTAAGGCTATGCACACCGTGATTCATAGTTTCATGCCATTATTGCTTGACTTATTAGGCATGTCTTGTACACAACTCTTCAGATTGCTTTTTTTTTTTCAAGCCAAAGCAAAAATGATGCAACTTTTTCTATTAGAAAAGATAGAAAGAAAAAGACTACGCAACCATTATGCTCCGACATAAGCTGATATAGTCTAATAATTATGTATTCGATATTGTTTTTAGTAAGTAATTTTAATTTATTTAATTATTATCTAATGTGAGAGGAATATAATTATGATTTTTTTTATAACATTTAGATTATAGCTTTTGAATTTTTTTGATCGAATTTTTTTTTTTTACTCTATTGAGATTTTTTATTTTTTGAAATTTCTCATTTCAAGTCTTCCGTTATAACGTTGCCAATCGAGTGCATGACATTATAAAAAAAGAAATCTCGAAAAAAATGTTATTTATTTATTGATAGTTTATAAATAAAGGTCTGAACTAAAAAATTTTGAAAGAAAAAATTCATATAATTATAGTAGCTTGAAGTAACAATAGCAAACTCCTCTTATCATTCCACCTGTCAAAAAAAAGTGTTATAAATGTTTAAAACTAACATAGAATGAGGGGTGAGTAAACGGTTAAACGGTTCGATTTTTTATAAATTTGATTTGATTTTCGATTAATCGAATTAAGAAAAATCAAAACCGAATCGAATCAAAATAATTTTGCTAAATTCGGTTTGAAACTAAATTATTTCGATTCGGTTTTATAAAAATTTGATTTTAACCCAAATAATTTTTTTTAATTGGTAAATCCTAAATATGGGTTGGGCTAATATTTAGAGGCTTTTCATTTTTTAGTATATAGGCTGGACTAATAAAGGGTATGCTTTCTCATTTTATACCATAATTTAAATATCAAATTAGGTGTAGAAAATAAAATTTTTATAAATCTCTAATACTGTTATAAATGGTTTGGTTTTTTATGAAAATCAAAATATTTTTTTCAAAAATAAATCAAATTGAAATAATTTTGATAATTTGATTTATTTTTTAATTTTATAAATTTAAATTTAAAATCGAATTAAAATATATAATTCGATTCGATTTTTCGATTAATCAAACTTATACTCACTATTACATGGCACAAAACCGCAAAGATTGTTAGTAGACCCAACATAGAGCCTGCTTAGTCAGACAATGAAAGGTCACTCTAGAAAACGTTTTTCAAAATACATTAATTTGTGACCATTGATTGCAACAACTTTACTTTTCTCTTCGTAATTGATATCGTATCTAACAAGATATCTTATTGTTTCAAACGTGAGAAGATTTTCTGGGATATACGTATGTTGGGAACAAGTCAGAAACCATCTCCATCTACACGACACATCTATTTAAAAAAGATTACGAATCTTTAACTTTATAAGAAATCTTTCCCTCAATGGTTGTTGATGATCCATTTTTGCACACGATTTTTTCTACACATGTATATTTAAAACTCAATTAGATTAAACAAATCAAATATAGATTAACAAAAAATTACAAATAAAAAGTAATTCTATCTTCTTTTTTATTTTATACATATTGAGACCTTATATAATTTTATTTAAAAAAATCACGAATCTTTAATTTTATAAGAAATCTTACACTCAATGGTTGTGAATGATCCATTTTTGCAGAGGATTTTTTCTACACGCATATATTTAAAACCCAATTAGATTAAACAAATCAAATATAGATTTAAAAAAAAAATTACGAATAAAAAGTAATACTATATTTTTTGATTTCATGCATATCAAAATTTTATATAATTCGAATTTTTTTTATTGAGATCTTAAATTTTTTCAAACCTAATTTAAGAGTTTTATTCTTATATTGTTATTGTTTTAGACCCTAGCTATAATAGTTTGCCACTTGTAACTTGCCACGTAAGTCGTTACACGTGGCAAGCTATAGCAAATAACAACTTACCACATCATCAATTCAATCATTTAATTTGAACCATCATAATACTTGATAAGCTATAATGAACTAAAGTTTGTTACTTATGCTTATATAGCACATTATGGTTTGAAATAACAATAACAATATAATAATAGAACTCTTAAATTAAATAAAAAGAAAGAAAAAACTCGGGATCTTAATAAAAAAATTTAAATTACATAGAGTCTCGATTTGTGTAAAATTCTTTTTTTTTTTTTCGTATCGTTTTTATGCCGATAACAATATTACCTACTTTTCGTAATTTGCGATAAGAAAACGACTCTTATCTAAATATTAGATCTTTTTACTGATTGTTATTTCAAGCATTGTTCTCAAATTTTCTTGATTCTCATCTAAATAAAAAGTTCTATAATAGATAAGTTGTAAGAATTTTTAAAATTATTCTTATAAAATTATTTTTAGACGTTAACCAACATATATCTTACCGTCTTGAAGTATATATTTTGACACATTGCTATAACCATCCATCTGCATCATGTATGCTTTTTTCTTTCTTTAATGTCAGAATTACTATATAAAATAACACTTGGTCTTTATCATAATAATAATAATAAGAATAACTTTAATTTGTTTTATATTATAAAGTCAAGCTTTGAAGATCCATATCAACCATCTAGACAACAATACGTGTCCAATATTTATGTGAAGATTTATCTTGTTCACATCAGGCAGAAATCATCCCATAAGTTGATTTGATTATTGATGGAAGCGTTACTTGCCATGATAAATCAAATCGATAAAAAAATAAAAAAATAAAAAAATAAAAAATAATTTATCTTTTTCTTAAAAAAAAATTTCAAGACTTCAAACTTTCATATCGGTTTTAAAAAATTATGGTTTTTTTCTTTAAAAAAATTACAAATAAAACTAATTCTATCTTCTTTTTTTATTATTATTCTTTATTTTTCTCATCACCTTTTTATGCCGATATCAATATTACCTATCTTTCATAGTTTGTTACAAGAAAACGATTCGGATCTATTATTTCAAGCATTGCTCTCAAATTTTCTTGATTCTCATCTTAATAGAAAGTTTCATTATAGGTAAGTTGTAAGAATTTTTAGAATTATTTTCACACGTTAACCAACATTAATGTGTATCTTATCTTCCTAGAAGTATATATGCATGCAGACACATTGCTATAACCATGCATTTGCATCATGTATGCTCTTTTTATCTTTCAACGTCAGAATTACTCTGTAAAATAACACTTGGTCTTTATCATAATAATATTAATAATAATAACATCAATTTGTTTTATATTATAAAGTCAAGCTTTAGACATCCATATCAACCATCTAGACAACAATGCGTGGCCAATATTTTTGTTGAGATTTATCTTGTTCACATCAGGCTGAAATCATCCCATATGCTGATTTGATTATTGACAGAAACGTTAATTTCCATGATAAATCAAGTTGATAAAAAAATAATTTATCTTGTTTTTTTTTTAAAAAAAAATTCATGACTTCAAACTTTCATATCAATATTAAAAAAGAATTTATTCTTAATATATATATATATATAAAAGGTTGCATCCTTAAAGTTATTTTAAAAACATTAATTTCAATTGATGTGTAATCTATCCAATCGGTCAAGGAATTTTTCTAGATAGGATGCCTTTAGAAATTTTTTGATACTTTTAACTTTATGATTGTATTCCACGTTGAGCACAATATCTTCATGCATCCATTTCACACTCGATGATATCATATCGTAGGATCACCCAATAAAAAATATTACTAAACATTTAAAATTAATAAAAACTCTAATAAAAAAATGTTACTAAATTTGACTACTCCCTAAGGAATTAATGAAGCTGTTGTCGAGTTGCAAAGGTGTGGACAATGCTAAAAGGCCTTTTTGCTTTAGTGGCTTTGGGTTGATGAACACGAGTGTGAAGTGTGAACCTGTTCTTCTCCGAAAAAGACAGCCATGAAAGCTGCCAAAGCAGATTCGGCCCACACGTCGATGCCGTCTTCAAAGTGGAGAATCGCATGCTTTTCCTGGAAATGGAATGCCCAGCCGGAAACTCAGAAAGGTGTTGCTGCTGTGCTGTTGGCCAATCAGCTATTTGGGAGTGAAAGAAATGCCAAAAAGAAGGATTAAAAAACATGAACAATGAGGAAATATATGTATTTGACCTTATATGGTTGAAAAGGAAGACTTTTCTTCAGATTAATATTACTTTTCACGTTGAAAATTTTTGTATGGTAGTATTGTTTATTGGTAAAAGTAAATGTTAGACTTTGGATTACGTGACTCTCGTGAGCAGCATTAATTAGCTGATTCGTTTTTCTTTTTCATCTTACATAGTTAATCGGATTAACTTAAATTAGGGAGTTTTTATCATGTTTGACGAATGATGATATGATGAGTGGATTGCTGTTTATAAAATATTTTATGTTGAAAATTTTTACTAGCAAATCAAGTTAATTTAGAGGTTGATTGTAAGATATCTTGTGCTATTAGTTTTTTGACAAAATATTGAAAACAAACACAGAAAAATTAAAATTATATTTTTGGAGTAAATAGTTTTAATTTATCATTATATAATAGTCTGAATTTTTAATCTGTATTTACGTTTATAATTATATCTATTATATTTTAAATAATATTTAAGCCTTCAATTTGTCATTTCGATCAACTTTTTCAATCATATGTCAATTTTTTGAATGAAATGAAAAAAAAAAGATGAAGATTTAAAAAATTAAATATGCAAATCATGTGATTTTAAATGGTTTTCTTTTCCATTTTAATTAAAGGTATTTAGATTAAAAAAAAATATATTTATTATAAGAAAGTCAAAAAACATATTTGGATGAAAGATTGAAAACCCGAGTTGTTATTATATAAACCAAAATTTCTTATTTACCTAATGTTATTGTGTAAAATATTTTAGGCAAAGTAAACGCCTCCTTAGAACTTAGAAGTGTGTTAGTGTTCTCAAAAAGAGTCATTTAGTATTGTGGTCTCAAATGATTTCAAATATCATTACTCTTTGGACAATAATTTCTCATTTTCTATAAGTATACGCCTAAGCTGTACATAATCAAACTATAATGGGCCAAATTGTTAATCTATTGTATTGGGCTGGATTATGTGCTTAAAGATTTTATACTTTGTTCTGAGTTCATAATTCAATCCTTTTTCTTGCCAGACAAGTCTGGAGCCCTTAACCCCTCACTTGAAATCTAGCTGATTAGAGGCCTATATATGAAATCAAAGCTCTGGTTGTCATGTTAAAAAATAAATAAATAGATGTTATGAAATGATGAATATCCATCTATGTTTCATTTATTCTTCATATCCTTACTATTTATGATTATTAATATGATTCAATTCATCATTTAATATGAGAAATTGAAAGGGTGGTGCTATTGTTATTCATCGTCCTTTCTAATTCTCTCTTCACTTTTGAAGCCTATAAATAAGCTTGATTGTTCATTAGTTGATGTACAAGTTTTCTGAGAGAATAAGAGAAACTTTGAAGTTCTTATCACTTTATATTCACATTATAATGATTTCGTTTTACAACAATAGACACTTTGTTTACTTTAAATTTTTTGATCCGAAGATATTCTTACCGGGAAACTTAAAATACGTTTCTGGCAGCGATGACATTGTCCCTCACAAAATTACAGTGAAATTATGGCCACCTCTTGTTTTTTCTTAAACATTTTGTTAGCCTGAGAGAGAGGAGATTCAAAATCTTATGGGCTGTACCTTTTTCTTATAAGGCGAGCATGCATGGCTACACATTTTGTGCATAGATTTTGAAAAAGCGAAGACGGTTTAAAAATAAATATCAAATTAAACATCTTCAGCAATCCTAATCTACAATAGATCTTCTGTTCTCAGTACAGCTGAGGTTGCATACTAACATTATCTAACATATGACTATTAAAAATTTCAAACAGAAAACTAAATGCGAAATGATTTTTGATTACATACCTTGGCAGCTGAAGTTGAACCCTGTTTTAGCAACTTAGATGGATGCTGCATTCTTGACAAGAAAGAAGCCTGTCTAGCATAATTTAGCCTCTGAACGCACTAGAGTTCTAAGTTATACAGCTATGCAGTGCTTTTACTAGAATTTAGAACAACTGTGTGGGGATCCAACATCAGTTGCTCCTTAGTAATTATGGTGTTGGTTGTTGAATAGCTAATCAAGCAATTTGTATTGTGTGTAATAGATGCAGTTTTGAGGTCTTTCAAGCAGACACCCTTTCATCTATTTTATAATACACTTGCTTTTACAGCATCTCTTAGTGTCAGATACCTGATGATTATATATATATGTATATATATATATATAGACATAAAATCATCTGGCAGCTTGCTTATTACATCCCTTCCCTTGTTTTTTTTTTTTTTTGGTATGAAGTCGATCAACATATTACATCCCTTCCCTTGTTGTGTTACTAAAGATCCATACAAGCAAAAACAACATAAATGAAAGAAAAAAGTTGCGAAGCATAAATTTGAAAATCGTCAGTAACCCCAAATATTCGATAGATCCTCTGTTCAGATTTCAGTATTTGTGACTGAAAATTCTCACTACAACTGTATGTCTCATATATTGACGTTGTCTAACATTTGACTATCTAAATTTTCAAACTAGGAACCAAATAGAAAATGATTTTACATGCTTTGGCAGCTGAAGTTGAGCCCTCTTTTGATAACTTAGATGGCTGCTGCTTTGTTGACAAGAAAGAAGTCTATCTACTGTAATTTAGCCTCTAAGCCTAAACACACTGAAGTTATAAATTATACAGTTATGGTGTGTAATAGATCACCTTGGTGCATGGTAGATGGCTACATTTGTCTAATGGGTTTCTGCTGTCAGTTCAACTTATTTGGTTAAGGTTTTTCCTTCCTTTTTCATCAATGTAAGTGTTACCTGTGATGTCCAAACACGAACGGCCGAATCATACGTCAGAAAAATATCATTTTCATTATAGAAATAGCCAAATCCTAAAGATTCAAAAGGGCCACCAGATTCAGATACACAGAGTCCATGACAATCCAATATTGAGAAACAAGAGGCCTCCTGAATATTTGTATTTTCAAGATATTTTGCTTAATGACATCTCATGAAATTTAATGAAATCAGGAACGAAATATCCAGAATTTTATAGAAGGATAATCATTAAAATGTAAATCGAACACAGTTTCCAAACAGAATTGGTTTAAAGCATTATAAACCAAAGTCCTGAAATGCTTATATATTCATTGGATAATCAGCACGTCTTCTTCTGATAATTCTATCAATCGCTTATAAGCCTTTCCACATACTTCTTTCTCAAGTGATTGTCTGGTATCAACATAAATTTTTTCTCCTGGCTCGATAACCATTCGCTCAAGGGAAATACCGTGCTTGAACAAATAACTAATAAGCAGCAGCTGCTGATTCAAGGAGCCAAAATATCCACCAATTTCATTTTTCTTCACCTGTTCATCCATGGCTTCAGCAGGCTCGAGCTTTCGTTGGTCCGATTCGCCAGAATTTATCTGAAATTATGACAAGGAGCAGCTTATTTTAATTAAAATCCGAAGATTGTGAAATTTTTAAAGTTCCTTCCTGGATTAAACATGCAATGCAGTTCCTTTACAATTCCCGAATGGTCAATATATGTCTCTTTCACACACACACGCATATATTTTTTCATTTCTAATAGCAAAAAATTATTTCACTCACCGCGAAAATAAGCTTATTCAGACAGGGAAATGCTCCAAGAATAGAAATCAACTTCAACATGTCAAAGTTTGGATCGTAATCGAACATTATACATAATTCTGTAACGTGTTGGAAGATGGTCATGCTTTCTGGTAGGTGTTTAACCTGGATAGGAGAAAACCAAGTGTTATTAATTAACAAGCCTTCACATAAAAACTTTGAGAAGTAAAGAACAACCTGCTGTTTCTTTTCCTATATACATACCGAATCGCATGTAGTGAACATAGACAAAGTCCTCAGCTTAGGGGCATGTTTCGGAAGATGAGTGAAAATATAGTGCAGTTGTGTTTTACCAGCATTACAATGAAATTTCTCCAAGTTAGGAGCTCCACTTAAATCGAATACGACATTCTCAATACAGCCATATAGAATACTATGGAGATTTGCATTACTGGACAGCTGAACTTCCTTTATCCCAGCACAGTCAGCGATAACAAGATTTTTAAGGAGAGCCAAAGGGCCTAAGCATAATTTCATAGGAAGTGTAGAATTACTAAGTGTCAAATATTTCAGGTTGGCCAACCAAGAAAACATGCCATTTATGTCGTAAAGGGCCAAGTTTGTATTATTCAAACCGAGTGTCTCTAAACCGCTTAATCGGTTAGCAACATCTGGTCCTAAAATGCATCCTTCCAACTCTAGATTCTCTAGATTGGTATTTCTATCTCTTAAAACTTCCCCTTGAATAACGTACTTCCCACCAATCTGTTCGCCGTGCATGTCGCCAATAGCCCTAGAACAGGATTTCTGACAGTACAAGCAAATCGATATCATCGTGGCTCCCATTCTATTGGCAAAACTGATCCATCGATCGATATCGTCAGTGAATTCACTTCCAAGACAGAAAGACACACCAAAATAATCTATTTGTAAGCCCTGGTATGAGTCTATGAACTGATTAACTCCTCTAACAAATTTCTCCTTGTAGTGTCTACAACACTTGGAGTTTGTTTGAAACATGTTAACCTGATCGAATTGGAGTATAGGGAGGCCTGAGTAAACTCTCTTCCATCTGCGTGACAACACACTTGTTTTCACAGCATCCCTCAGCGACAAACACTCTATAATCGAATACACAACGTCATCAGGCAGCTCACTGATTACGTCCCTTCCTGTGTCAGGGTACTAGAGATAAAAAAAAAAAAAAAAAATCATGTTCTTTATGTTTATTAGTCAAATATATCATCAACAAAAACCTCAGGTATTATAAATATTTACAGTACTGTAACAGCAACAGCAACAAAAAATAAAAAAATATCCAGCATAGGACAGGAATAGAACAGGACATATCCAAAACCTAGTTAGGTACGAGGATCCAATATTCGAACATGATAAATCAAAATTAATAGTTCTTGATATTTATACCTCGACAGTGGAAGTTGAGCGCTGTTGCAGCATTGTTGAAAGGAAAGAAACAATTTTCTTCTCTCGACCTGATCAGAGGGACGCTGTTTTTTCACTAGAAACTTATTGCGGCGGTTGTTTCAGTTATGCATTCTTTCTGAAGTATTTTTGTGAACTTCTACTACGTTCAGAGTTCTACATAGAGAGTTATTTGGGCCTGCACACAGGAATGGATACCTTCTCCAGGCCGAAAGACTAGCGTTTACAGCAAATCACATTGGCCCATGTGTACGATCCACCTATCAAAAAAACATCTCAGTCTAAAAACAATTATAAAAAAAAAACTTTTTCGAATCCATATATAGAAAAAATAAATAATATTCATTAATAAATAAAATTATATAAAAAAAATAAAAAAATTAACTTGATGAGAATTTTTTTATAAACAATAATAAATTGAACGGATCGATTTTAAATAATAAGAATAATATATATTTATTCTAAAATCTAAAAACATATCGTATATATTATGTAATCATTAATTTATATGAAAAAATAACTAACTAATTTTCATAATTTCTACACCCGAGTGAATAAAAAAACATTAATCGTTGAAAAAAGAAAAGAAAAGAAAAGAAAAAGAAAAGGCAGGCCTAGGTGCGTGGTTTCTGCAAACCCAAGGCAAGCCTGATTGTAATGTCGAACAGCTAAGCTAAGGGATTAAAATTTTTATTTTAAAATTTTAGAAGCTAGGATAAATCATGAAGTAAACTTTGAACATAAATATCGAAAAATTAAAAAAAAAATCATAATCCGCAGTATCTAAACAGTTATTTGTGCCCCGGCTTTTTTGGTTTCTTGTAAATTTTAATAAACAAATCACCCTCTCCGTCTCTCATTTTCGTCTCTCTTGATCACTGAGAGAGCAATGACGATCCTACTACTTAGACATTTCTCAGCGACGTCGCATTGTTATCGAAGAAGCAGTGGCAGTTCAATTTCTAGATTGATCGATTTTGGATCAAAATGGAGGACGAAGCAGCAGCTTTCCTTCATTAATTCGCGTCGTGTAGTCAAAAAGAGGTCGGTTTCAGTCAGTATCAAGACTGTGTTAAGCAGTGAGCCTAAGCAGAAGCTCATAGATCCTCTCACCAATGAAGAAGGTGCGTTCTTCTTATATATTTTCCTCTTTCCTTTGAGTTCTGTGTTTTCTGAGCTTTTTGATTGAATTTGTTAGATATATATTTCTTTTTAGTAAATTTTTAATTTTGAAGACTGTCTGGTGGGAAATAGTAATCATTTTGGTAATAATCTCTCTTGTATTGTATAGATGTGTTAGGATCAAAAAAGGATTGGAACCCGTCGTCTGTTCAGATTAGAATCTGTATGATTTTGAATTGCTGTTTAACTCCAATCAAACTTGCTGGATGGACTGAGAGAAATCCAGGAACTGGTTGTTTGTAATAAACAGCTTGCTTGGCGGCGAAAAGTAGAAAATCTCTAATTGTGGTGTCCTCTTTTTCTTGTTGAGTTGATTTTGGGTTCGGATCCTTTTTTGATGCTGAAATTACAAATTTGAATTGTTTGTCTCGACCGTGGCTAAACTAAATCCAGTTCTTTTCATTTATGGAGGGTCGGAGTGGTGTGTTTCTTCTTTGAAATCATGCTAATGAGTTAAGCTTCATGTAAAGTCTGAATTCTTCATTGGTTGATATCTTATGCCTTTCGAACCTTTAGTTGTCATTAACTTATTTTTTGAGCTTATTTATGCTCCAATGTACTAGCTTGTGAAATGTGTCAATTGAAAGTTTATTTCTTTCTTTGTCTATTTCTTTTAGGCTATCTCATAACTTGGTGTTAGAAAAACAGAAGTTGATATACATAAACTAAAAAATAATAGTACAAAATATTTGTTTTCTCGTATAATGAAATTGTTGTTTCTTTTTTCTTTTTCAAAAGAAATGTAATGGATTTGGTCAATTGATTGATGTAGTTAGGGATGACGGCGGGGCGGGGACGGGGATATCCCCGTCCTTGCCCCGACACCGTCCTGCCCCGCTTTTAAAAAATTTTTCCCGTGCCTCGAACGGGATAAAATTTCTCGTACCATCCCCGCCCCAAACGGGACGTAAACGGAGCAAAAATTATTATTTTTTTATTTTAGTCTCATTTTATCTAATTTTACTACTAAATTTTAAATTATAGCAAAAAATTGATAATTTATATAGAAAATAAACCCTAAAAGTCACTAATTATAGATTTTATATGGGTATAATTATAATTTTAATGAAAAAAAGAAATGGGGCAAATGGGGCGGGGCGAGCAAATCCTATCCCCGCCCCGTCCCCACTCGGGGGTGCCCTGCCTCGTTCCCCGATCAACACAAGGAATCCCTGCGTTGATCAAAGAAAATTGACGCGGGGCGGGGCGGGGCTCCGTTGAGGCGGGACAAATTGTCATCCCTAGATGTAGTCTATCTAAACCAATATACTGAAGCCTTAATAATTCGGGCACAAAATCTATGGAAAAAAAACATTTAATATATGATCACTTAAATCGTAGTGGGCAATTATATATGATTTTAAAAACATTTAATACAGCGTTTAAATTTTTGTGGGCAATTATGATAATTTTATAAATTGCAGGAATTGGAAGAATGTGAGTGAATAGGGCTAGAAAGAACTGTCCTTTTATAAGAGAGATGGTAATTCCACATCGCACCTTAATGATATATATAGGACCAATGGGAGAGCGAATAGAGATAGAGAACACGATCTACACGATCTCTAAGGAAGAAGTCAGCTTCAGCAATTCATGGAAAAAAAATAAGAATTCGAGTAGTTTCAGGAAGGGTAAATGAAGAAGCTATTAGTTATTGAGGGGATGAATCATGGATTAACTCGACTAATAAAATTATGATATGTGACTCGTTAAGAAGATGACGATGGTTGAATGATGATTGAAAGTGGAGGATATTTCCTTTAAATAGTGTAACTACAAAATAAGTTTTTCTAATTAGATAAAAAATCATTCGATGATTAAATTAATAGTCAGAAAATGACGAATTGTTTTTAGAAAAAATATTTAACTATTTTAGAGTAATTTATAGAGGAGAGAGAATTATGCATGATGCATAATTTATTTTGAAATAGCTTGTGAGTAAGAAATTGAAACCTTTTGCTTCTAATGATTTGGGCTTTTATATAAATGATCATGAGTATAACTTGTATGATGAAAAGAACAAAGATGTCATTTATTTTTATCTTAATGGGTGATATGATAAATATTTATTATCTTTGATCTACGATGATATTCGAGCTTAACATAATGAATGAGTGACGATTTGATTAATATCATTATTGAATAACTATCAATAAATGCATTGTTCCCTCTGGTGATAGCGGGTGTCTTTCCTTTTCACGTTAAGGCGCTTTAGGATAGGAGGATTCCTAACTTTCCCAAGAGGGTGGCTCGCCTTGTAAGAGGTGGTCATCTTTTGAGGACTCTAGGCTTGCCTGTCTTGGCATTTCCTTATGTTGCGACTTGTGGGCCTGGTGAATTTGGAATTATGTGTTCATGGACTGTTTTTGTTAGGCTGTTCTAAGACGAGTCCAGTGATTCTATCTCCATGAGTTGGAAGTCAATATTTACACAACGTTAGGAGTAGTTTTTGGAATGTTTAATTTTGACTACAAGAAGTGGTCTAATTGATCCATACCATGGGTTTTTAAATTAGTTGAGTGAAAGTCATATAATTTATTAATTGTTTAAAGAATGAGTCAAACAGTCATGAATATACAAATTAGTTTGAGAATATCGAAACTGTCAATTCAATAAAAAAATTTCTAATTAAGGAATACTCGATAACAATAGAGTGCTTTAAATTTATTTTAGATATAAAACATAAGTCATATACATAAATAATATGATTTTTTTTCAAATAATTGTAAGATTTTTCGTAAAAAAAATAGTTTTGATTGATGTCCAAAGCTGATCCAAAAATATATTTTATCCTCAAGTATTTTTAAATTTTTTTGTATTATTTTTAGTTTTATTCATCAAATATAAATGATGGATGCTTAAACAAAAATATTTTTACTCTAATCTCCATATTCTCATTCTTTCTTTTCAAGATTTTGCCCTAATCCAAGTCATCTCCGTATAAACTCTAAGTAATAATCCTTGAGAGACGTACAGTTGGGGCCATTAGTTCTAAGATTTTGATTAATAAAATCTAACATAATAATTAATGAAATTTGGTAAATAATAATAATAATAATAAATAAATAACCATACATTCGAGTTCAAAATAAATCAAGCAAGTATCTTATCGTTTTTCGATTTCTCTTCTTTTTTTTTAAAAAAAAAAACTATTTCAATCTAAATGGGCTCAGCCCAAAATAAAAAATCACTGGACTTTAAATGGCCCAATAGGAGGCCCCTTTGTCAAAAAAGCTTAGTCAACACTCGGTGCCATCTCCTGGTATAAATTCTTGACCGACCATCCAATAATGCGATATGACATAAGGTTCTTATCTTTAACAACAAGCAACCGAACCTCTTCTCAATCGGTCAGAATCTTCTAGACCCACACGGTTTGAGTAAATTATAAATTAGTCCCTTTAGTTTTGAAAAGGAATAATTAACCCTTCTTATTTCAAAAAATAATTATTTAATTTTTTATCCATTTTATGTTCTTTTCTATTTTTTTTATAAAATATAAATAAATATTGACCAAAAAAATATTTTTTTGAAATAAAATAATATTAAATTAAATATAATTAATAATGGTTAAAAGATTAAATAATTAATTTAAAAAACTAATTAATTCGTTTTTAAAAACTAAAGGGCCTAATTTATATTTTACTCCACACATAAACCCTTTCCTTCTTCCTCTCCTTCTTGTCACTTTCCTGAGCTCTCCTGACTATATGCTCTCTACGTCTTTCTAGACCCTAAAAACCCATCTTCTCAAGCATCTTCCTCTGAGTTTTCTCTATAAATACCCAAAGCCTGTCGAGGATATCAACTTTCAGCTAGCAAACATCAAACATAAGAAAGGGTTTTGCCATCAAGAAGAGGAAAAGAAAGAAGTTCGAATCAAGAAATTAAGGAAAAGATGTGCTTGGTATTTGTGTGTGATGAGGATGAGAGGGTGATAGGAAGGCAACCAGCAACTGGGGCATGTCCTTACTGTGGAGGGATGGTTCAAGCCATGGATGTCGAGAGCCAGTGGAGGTTTTGTTTCTTGCCTGTGTATTTCAAGAACAAGAGGAGATATTATTGCTCTCTTTGTGCTAGAAAATTAGTGGTCCAATAGTATAAGATTAAGAGCTTGTAATTTTCCACATGATCTGATTCATATAGTAGAATCTCTTTTATGGTTTTATTATTATTATTATTATTATGTGCAAAATAATTGTAAATCTTACTCATGAGCTCAGAAATAATAGATGTAAGTATAATAATTTTGTTGTGAAAAGATGCAAGTAGCAAGAATTTTGAGGTTCATGTTAGAGCTTGATAACATGCTGAATTAGCTCAATTTCTTCGATTAAACTAGGAAAAAAAAAAGAAAAAAAAGGGGAGAAATTAGAGAGAGTTTTAGCTAGATAAGTGAGTTCTTTTAGTTTTGAAAACGAATTAAATTGTTTTTTTTTGGTTAATATATATATATATATATTAATTAATAATTTTTGCATTCCATTTACTCCTCTTTCGTTGGCCACTCTTGGGGGGAAAAGGAGCTATATATAACAATTTGAGGCATTTAAGCAATTTTTTTTTTTAAAAAAATTGGTTTTTAAACTGGTCATCTCTAAAAAAAAAAAAAAAAAAAAAAACACATTTCCTTACCACTTTCATTGAGATTGGTATTTGAAATGACAATTAAACACGCTAGTTAAACTAACCTAAGATGAAAATAATGAAGAATTGGAATAAATGCATCAAAACTTTTTTGCAAAAAATGTACAAATAATTCAAGACATGTCTGACAAAATTATAGTTAAGGTTTTAAGCGGTCAAAATCAATTAACACAAAATTAAAATCCTTATAAGAATATAAAAGATTATGTTTCAAAATATATTAACTTGATGATTAAGGCTATTTTTTTTAAAAAAATATTAATGAGCAAGGGTATGATAAAAATAGAACTTGCAAACGAAGAAAGTATTTGATGCAGTGATGCCATATATACATCATTTCTATCGTTCCAAAGTAAATGAATTACTCTCCACGATTCGGATTTCGGAGAAAATTGTAAGAAAATATTTTTTTTTTATCAAGAAAAAACAAAAAGAAAAAAATCATTTGCAATTGTATTTGTATGAAAATTATGAAACTCTTTTTTCAAATTAAGTTTTATCCATATTTAGGGATAACGACAAGGATCCTTGTAATAAAAACAAAAAGAGATAAGTATATTATAAGTATATTGGGTTTTAATTTTTTTCTCAATTAACCATATGAAATTTTAATTTTTTTCATTTAGGTATATCAATTTTTTTAAAATGGTAAATAAGATATTTTCGTAAAGTAAGGATGTGTTGGTTATCTCTAAAATATCAAATTATAACTATATATTTTTTTCCCCCTCAATTGAGTATAAGGATTTTAATTTTTTTTGTTTGAGTATATTAATTTTTTTAAAAATATCAATCAAATATTTTTATTAATTTTTTTGTTAATTGATGATATATTCGTTATTCCTTTAATAACAAATTATAATTTTATCATAGTTTTTTGGGAGAGAATTTCCCCATCAGATGCTTACAAACAATTAATTTTCTTAATAATTTTTTTTTTGTGTTTTTCCATAGTTTTGACTCCTAAACTTAATCGAGTTTAATTTTGAGTTTTATAACTAAAAAATAATAATTTTTAATTCTTTGTCAAAATTTGAATGCTAGAATAATTTTGGAGAAAAGTTTCCTCTAACAAAAAGAAGAGAATTTTATAATTTGATATTATAGAGATAATTATTAATACCTCATCAGTTATATATATATATATATATTAAAAACATTTTTATACATAAATACATTTGCAGTTTAATGGTATTTGTTTGCTATGTGAATTTAGTTTTTATCAACAAATTTGATATTTTTTGTTGTGGTGATATTTTTTTACAATTTTTTTATATAATATATTATACACATGTAACTTAATGGTAATCTCTTTTTTGGTATCTCAATCTCAACCTCAAGCAATTTTTTTTTTCATAGTTTTATTCTTACATTTGACACATGTAATTCAATGGTGGTCTCTTTTCTTGATCTTTCAATCTCTACCTGAATTAAATCTATTTTTTTAATCGTCGTTTTTTTAATAGCAAAATTTAACCCAATCGAATCTAGACTAGGTTAGAACTCATCAATTGATTTCACTGTATTGCTTAGATTTGATAAAATCAATTTCTTATCTAGTCCAATATCAACCCCAATTCTAATTAGGCTTTAAATTGTCGAACCTAGACCATGTTTGAGCATGTTGATCGGCTTTTAACTAAATCGTTTAGATTTGATCGGATCAATTCTTTTTTTGGTCCAATATCAATCCTAATTCTAACTAGGCTTCGATTAATCGGATTTTTTTAATGAATTTGTCGACTTATCTGGACAAACATATACACTAAACAATAGAATTAACAATAAATTAATCACTATAATTTATTAAGACTATACAATCAATCTTTATATTATAAAAACAATTAATAAGTCACTCAACTAGCTTTGATAGTTCTCAACTTAGCATTTTTCTTAAGATACCTACCCTTTTTTTCTTCGTCTATTTCTCGAAACCGAAAAAAAAGATGGGGAAAAAAAAAACAAAGGTGGAGAAAAAAACAAGAAATTGACAAAAGGACTAAATCATTAATGAATTTAAACAATAGGAATTAATATATAATTTACAAACATAAGGATGAATTTATGAGTTTCATTAACCTAGAAGGATTAAGTTACTAATTTACACCCATTCAATTACACAAAAACCATAACAAACATAAAAATTACACTCAAAGTCCTTCTCCTCCTCCTCTATTGTCCTCGTTCGCTTATAAAGAACACAAGGGCTGGATCCGATCGCGTCAGCTTCAAATAATCTCTCTCCTCCCACCTTTCTTTCTTCTTCACTGATTCCGACACTCTCTCTCTTCTAGTTGGATCTCATCTCATCGTTACACGGTTAGTTTTCTCTCTAAGTCTCTCTCGATCTGTTTGGATTCCGAGAAAGTGATTCCATTTTCTCAGCACCCAAACAGATTGCTCTTTTTATCTATTTTAAATGATCAGTACTATCGTTTATACCTCGAATCGATTGATTTTTAGGTATCGATGTACTAAAAACAACGACCTTTCGATTGATTATTGCTTTGCATTTAGGTTTCTGATCTGAATTCAGACTAATCAGATCTGGAATGTGTTTTTTTCATTAATGTTTAGATCTGATATTGAGTTTTGCGTAATTTAGTTAGTTAGTTTCTATTGTCGAACGAAATGGTTTTTAGTGCCAATTGTGCCGGATCTGTAATGTAGGTAAAATTTGGTCAGTGATTTGTATTGTGATTTTTATGGAAAGTTGTTGGGGAGGGAAGAATGTGCTGATTTGGGACCACTAGTGGAAATAGTAGGCAGTTACTGAGAATTATGTGGCACTGTATTGTTTGAAGAGAAGATGGAATTTGTTTTGATGTCCTTATGTTTTGTTTTGTTCGATTAGTGATCTCATTGATTAGTGTTTAGGATTCGAAGAAGTTAAAATGAGAAAGTCGTTCAGTTGTAATGCTCAATTCTGATTTCTTTTTGCTGCTAATCACAAATTCGATGTGTTACAAATTCAAATTATTGTGTTAATGGAAACCGTAAATCATGCAGTTTTGGTAATTTAGGTTGAAAAAATTTGGTCAGTGTGGTAATTCTAATAGAAATTATTGATCATGATTTATAGTTGTGTGTTTGCCTAATAATATGAAACTGGGAGACTAAATGCACATATCATGATTTTTTTTTACGGTTTTTTTTTTTTTTGAATCTTGCATATTTCTGAATAGAGATGTATTATTTGGAAGAAATAGGAAATGTGATTTTAATTTATTTAGTTGTTTTTGCATTTTTTTTCAGTCTTTTTGTCACAGTCGGTGCTCTTTTTTCTTTTTCTTGCCTGTTTATCTTTTATTGATTTGAATTAACATGAATTTGTTGAATTACCAGTAAATAAAAAACAGATGGAGAAGTCTTGCACACTTCTTGTGCACTTTGATAAAGGAACCCCAGCTATAGCTACGGAGATCAAAGAGGCACTTGAAGGCAGTGATGTTTCAGCTAAGGTTGATGCCATGAAGAAGGCAATTAGTCTTCTATTGAATGGGGAAACCTTACCACAGCTGTTTATTACCATAGTCAGATATGTCCTGCCATCGGAAGACCACACAGTCCAGAAACTTTTGCTTCTTTATCTGGAGATTATTGACAAGAAGGATCCCAAGGGTAGGGTGTTACCGGAGATGATTCTCATTTGCCAAAACCTGAGGAACAATCTTCAGCACCCCAATGAATACATTCGTGGGGTGACATTGAGGTTTCTCTGTCGATTGAATGAGACAGAAATAATTGAACCACTTATCCCTTCAGTCCTCCAGAATCTAGAGCACCGACATCCATTCATTAGGAGGAATGCTATCTTAGCTGTGATGGCCATTTATAAGCTTCCTCAGGGTGAGCAGCTTTTGGTTGATGCTCCAGAAATGATCGAGAAGGTTCTGTCAACAGAGCAGGATCAGTCAGCTAAGAGGAATGCTTTTCTCATGCTCTTTAATTGTGATCAAGATCGGGCCACTAATTACTTATTGACCAATGTTGATAAGGTCTCTGAATGGGGTGAACTGCTGCAAATGGTTGTTTTAGAGTTGATTCGGAAGGTGTGCAGAACAAATCGGGGGAGAAGGGGAAATACATTAAGATCATTATATCATTACTGAATGCCCCTTCTAATGCAGTTATTTATGAGTGTGCTGGGACGCTTGTTTCTTTATCATCTGCACCTACTGCTATTAGAGCTGCTGCCAGCACCTATTGCCAGCTTCTAATTTCTCAGAGTGACAATAATGTGAAGCTTATTGTTCTTGATCGTCTGAATGAGCTCAAGTCTTCTCATAGAGAGATCATGGTTGAAAGGATTATGGATGTGCTAAGGGCTCTATCCAGCCCAAATCTTGACATTCAGAGAAAGACTCTAGATATCGTCCTTGAGTTGATCACCCCAAGGAACATCAATGAGGTTGTTCTCATGTTGAAGAAGGAAGTTATGAAGACTCAAAATGGAGAGCATGAAAAGAATGGTGAGTACAGGCAGATGCTCATACAAGCCATTCATTCTTGTGCCATCAAGTTCCCGGAGGTGGCAAGCACGGTGGTTCATCTGTTGATGGATTTCCTGGGAGACAGTAATGTTGCCTCAGCTATTGATGTCGCCATATTTGTCCGGGAGATAATTGAGACAAATCCGAAACTGAGGGTTTCTATTATAACAAGACTTTTGGATACTTTCTACCAGATACGAGCTGCAAGGGTTTGCTCCTGTGCTCTTTGGATTATTGGCGAGTATTGCTTGTCCCTTTCCGAAGTTGAAAGTGGCATTGCAACTATCAAGCAATGCCTGGGAGAGTTGCCATTTTATTCAGTTTCAGAAGAAGGGGAAGCATCTGCTGATGCTTCTAAGAACTCTCAACAACCGAGTTCTGGTACAGTTTCTTCTAGAAGGCCTGCCATTCTTTCTGATGGGACTTATGCAACACAGAGTGCTGCTTCTGAAACTGCCTTTTCGCCTCCTACCATTGTTCAGGGGTCATTGGCTGCTGGGAACTTGAGATCCCTTCTTCTCACTGGTGATTTTTTCCTTGGGGCAGTTGTGGCATGCACTTTGACGAAGCTTGTTCTGAGATTGGAAGAGGTGCAGCCTTCTAAGGTTGAAGTTAACAAAGCATCCACCCAGGCATTGTTGATCATGGTCTCTATGATACAACTTGGGCAGTCAGCAGTTCTACCACACCCAATTGACAGTGACTCTTATGATAGGATTGTCCTGTGCATAAGATTACTATGCAGTACAGGTGACGAGGTCAGGAAGATATGGTTGCAGTCTTGCCGTCAGAGTTTTGTCAAAATGCTTTCAGAGAAACAGTTGAGGGAAACCGAGGAACTAAAGGCAAAGGCTCAGGTTTCTTATGCACAACCAGACGACCTCATTGATTTCTACCATTTGAAGAGCCGGAAGGTAAGAAAGATTTGCAATTTTTAGTTTTTGACAAGTAATTTGCTAGGACCCACTGCTAATTTTGGTTATTAGTATATGTCACTATCATTGATGCATTCCTTGATGGTTACTTATGGAAAGGTTATATTAATATTTGGTTTTGAGCTATGCTGCATTTTGTCCCTTTGAAACTCACGAATCTGCATACTTTAAATGATTTTTCTGATGCTGTGAACTATGTCTCTTAAAAGTTGCTTGTTTACCCTTTCATTCTTTGATAGCTGGATCTGCTTGATATAATCCAAAAGGGTCATTTGCTTTTAAACTGATTCAGTTTTAGGCGTTACTATCATTTGCGATTAAAGATTCAATGCTGGTGACCGTTTCAAGTTATGATGTTTTGTATGTCCAAGTTGATCTTTTCCTCATATGTCATTGGTCAAATCTCTTCATTTTATTTTTTTGTTGAATGTCTAAGCACTGCCTGATTTCAGATGCTGTTAATTGATGTCACAGTGATTTTCAGTTAATTAGTAAAATATTCACATTAAGTGTTCCTGACTTCATCTGAATTCCAGGGTATGAGTCAGCTGGAGTTGGAAGATGAAGTTCAAGATGATTTGAAGCGAGCAACTGGGGAGTTCATCAAGGATGGGGATGATGCGAATAAGCTTAACCGCATTCTTCAGCTCACAGGATTCAGTGACCCTGTTTACGCTGAAGCTTATGTGACTGTTCATCACTATGACATTGTGCTTGATGTCACAGTGATCAACAGGACAACAGACACCCTCCAGAATTTGTGCTTGGAACTTGCCACAATGGGTGATCTGAAACTGGTGGAGCGGCCCCAGAACTACACCCTAGCTCCTGAATCTAGTAGGCAGATAAAGGCCAACATCAAGGTGTCCTCAACCGAGACTGGAGTTATTTTTGGCAATATTGTGTATGAGACATCAAACGTACTTGAGCGGACCGTTGTTGTCCTTAACGACATCCACATTGATATCATGGATTATATTTCTCCCGCGGTTTGTACTGATGCAGCTTTCAGAACGATGTGGGCAGAGTTTGAATGGGAAAACAAGGTACCATTGGCATTCTTTTTCGCTTGCTTATTTCTGCAATCTGGGTTACATGACTTCTGCAATGATGCAAGACTTTTCAACTTTCATTTGACATCATCATGCACCGATATATCTGAGTTAATGGGACTTGAGTATGTTGACAATTTGGCAGAATTTCTGAACTGTATCATTCAGTGTATATTGGGAATGCCCCTTGAATTTTGGCTTGATGTGAAGCCACCATTCTTATCTGCAGAAGTATTTATAACTTGGCAAAAGCTTAGTTGTTTGGGTGTATAATTTTCTTGTTTTTTGTTTGGTTGAGAAAATGGTTTCTTTGCTGGAGTCAATCTTAAACTATCCTCCTTTGCAAATTCTGTTGGTGGCAGCATCCATTTGTTTTTTTGTTTTTCGACTTTGATTTTATTATTTGCCTTAATTCTGCTTTAGTGCTTGTCTTAAGATAGGATATTTCTTAATTTGATCTCCATTTTGTACTTGTGTTCTGTCCACGTACCATTCTCTTCTGCATCCATTACTTGTGCTGTTTGATATATTATAAATTCTAAAAATGTTTTTGCTTATAACTTGTGTTTCAGGTCGCTGTGAACACAATAATTCAAAGCGAGAAAGATTTTCTGGACCACATAATCAAGTCTACAAATATGAAGTGTTTGACTGCTCCGTAAGTTATTTTGGTCCATGTACTACATATGTGTAACAATATTATAACAGGCTTTCTGACTGATCTCATTTCCTTCCATTGGTATTTCACCGAATGGCTTTTTTGGCTGGTTGAATTTCAGTTCTGCACTAGATGGAGACTGTGGCTTCTTAGCTGCTAATTTATATGCAAAGAGTGTCTTTGGTGAGGATGCATTGGTTAATGTTTCCATCGAAAAACAAGCAGATGCGAAGCTTAGTGGGTACATCCGGATAAGGAGCAAGACCCAGGGAATTGCGCTCAGCCTAGGGGATAAGATCACTCTCAAGCAGAAGGGGGCATTTGAAGCAGAAACTCAGCAATATTTCCATCACAAAATTAGCCATACCTCACTTTGAACTGCAATTTTATATTTTTGAGAATGAAATTATGAGGGTTGTTAATATTTTTATATTTTTTTTACAAATTCTTACGAATTGATTTAGGTACTGTTCCTTGAATTTTGTTACTTGTACTTAGAAGTAGTCTTATCCTGGAAGTTTCTTTTGTTGTATTTGGAGGGCCATATTTCTATGGTTCGATGTTGTTGACAGTGGCAGAATTGCGGCCTTTTCATTTGCTTAAAAGGAGGATTCTTTCTTTTTGGTCATGAGATTGAATTTAATCTTGGGAACCCAGAAAGTTACTTGAAAACCCCATTTGTTTTAAATCATGTGCATTTAAGTGAACTTTTCTTGTATCCTGCTTGGTGCTTCATATTTTTAGCTTCAAGATTTTGTGTTTGGCAATGTTGAGCTAGGGAAGACTTATCTCAGCTTACTGCACTAATTTCCAGCCCTAACCTGTCCCAGGACGGTCCAGATATGGTGGCTTGGATTTATGTCAGCAAGGGATTTTTCTCAGTCAAGTCATGCAGCTCGGTACCAGATAATGTTTTGTTACCAGGTCAGTTCCCTATTCGGTCTTTTGTGTATGGATGAATTTGGTGCCTCTGAAACTTGAAGCCTTAACATGGTTGGTAGCTCTGGGAAGGTTAAGGGCACGTGATTTTATTTCGCAAAGAAACATCATTAGTATACAGAAATGATAAAGAGGAAACTGGGTTCCTGGTCCTATATGCAGTGATTTGGTCTATCTGGTTTTCCAGAAATGATAAAAGAGTCATAACAATATTGTTGAGATGGGGAACGCATTCTCTCAATATTTCATAGGGTAGCTTTCTGGACTAGGTTTGCTGATGAGCAGTTTACGTATACAGGCAATGATCTGATTCGAAGTACGGTTGGTAGAGCAATACAATCAGACCAAGCGAGATTTCTTTTTGGGAGAGGCCAACTATCGGTTCCTCTTGGATTATGGAGTCAGATTCTATGAATGTTATTGCTTGGACGAGAAAGAGTTTTATAGAAAGGCCATGGAGATTGCAGAGTGCCTTTCAATTCTATCTCTATGTCTGTTAAGTCATTGAAATTAGTAAAGCTTAGTTCATGTTAGAGAAATCTAAATTTGCGGCTGATTCACTAGCTAAGGAAAGTCTAGATAGATATATAGATAATTGCCATGGGAGAGTTAAACGCATCCATAAAGAGGATAGCAAATGCGTAAAAAATAAAAAATAAAAAAATATTTGATTGATTACTAATTATTAATGTGATAGTCAAATATGATATATATCATTCACAACTAGTTACGGTCGTTTCTTCTTTGGTTCCAAAAACTTTAATGATTACAATTGTAATGATTTATTATATTAAAAGTATTGTTTTTTAAAAAATAAAAAACACAATGGACCACTACTTGATGGGCTAAGGGCTGTGTCCCATGTACAATGGGAGAGATTGTTGGATTATTTCACTTTGGTTGTGGAAGAGCTGGGTGCTTGAAAACATCACTCATGGGGCTGAAAAGACCCAATAACACTCAATGTTATGTTCTATTTATAACATTTCCGAAATTATTTGTTGCTGTACGAACGTGTCTAGCTTGTTATCGGGTTTTGTATATATATATATATATATATATATATATATATATATATATATATATATATATATATATACCAAACTCTGTATAATTCGAATTTTTTTATTGAGATTTTAAATTTTTATTTTCTATATAATTTAAGAGTTTTACTTTTATATTGTTATTGTTTCGATTCTAATATGTTACGTAAGCACACGTGATAAGTTTTAATCAATAATAGCTTGTCATATGTTATGATGGATCTAAATTGAATGATTGAATTGATGATGTGATAATTTATTATTGGTTAGAGTTTGTCACGTGTGGTTACGTGACAAGCTATCTTTAACTAGAGTCCGAAATAATAATAATATAAGACTAGAATTTTTAAATTACATAAAAAAATTAAGAATTTTAATAAAAAAATTTAAATTATATAAATTCTCAGCATACGTAAAACTGTTTCTTTTTCCCCAGCTTTCCAAGCAATTTAGAGTTGATGGGCCAAAGGATTGCAATCAATTGGTCCTTGTCTCCTTGACCTTGTGCAACAGTCTTCGTTCTTCAAGCATGTGAGTACAACAGCCCGTTATTTACCCATAAATAAAGCATCATCAACTCTTTAGATAACACTTTTAGGGCCCACCCTCCATTAAAGGCATTTGCTTTTGTCTAATTTCTGTGACAGAAAATGAAGCATCCTAGCCATAATTAAGTACATTATTGTTCCAACATGATTGAAATTTCATCTTAACAAGTTGTTAATCTGTTTTCCTGTAAAGAAAATGCCTTTAATGGAAAGCATCAACATCTCTTTCGGCAATAATCCATTTTTCATTACTAAAGGATAATTCACCATTAAGTATGATTATCTATAAATGTAGCGTCAAAAAGTTAATTTGGCTGGATATATTTTCCCAATCAATCATATTAATTCTGTGTTGGTGTGATTTTAGAATAAAGAAAGGAATAAAGATTTTGGTGCGATTAATTTTCTAAAGCAAAGAAAAGAAATACCTTGAGTGCAGACCAGTTAAAGGATTTCGAAATCGTGAGAGTAAATGCAGAATCTCTAATAGCTTTGAGTGTTTGGAAGATTTTGGAATCTGATTATCTATGAATGAAGCTCATGGTTTTCCTCAATCTCTTCACAGCAACAAAAAACATTCTTCTAGCATTCAAACCAATCACCACCATTCAAAGCAAGTAAACGCATCAAACACCATCTTGTCACTTGTTTCTTTTATCTTCCCTTTTAGTGTGTTTGCCTCCACCCACTCTTTTTGCACCCACCAAGAAACAATGGCTGAAGGTGTGCTCTTCTATATTGCGGAGGAAATAATAAAGAAATTAGGACTCCTAGCGGCTCAGGAGGTTGCTCTCTGGTGCGGGGTCAAAGATCAGCTATGCAAACTCGAGGCCACAGTTACCAGCATCAAGGCTGTCCTGAACGATGCTGAGGAGCAGGCACAGAAACAAAACAATCAAGTAAGAACCTGGCTTGGGAAGCTACGAGGAGCAGTATTTGATGCTGAAGATTTGCTGGACGACTTCTCGACAGAAGTTCAGCGGAAACAATTGATGTATGGTAACAAAGTATCGAGGGAGGTACGTACTTTCTTCTCAAGATCAAACCAATTTGTGTATGGTTTAGGGATGGGTCATAAAGTGAAAACACTCAGGGAGAGACTAGATGACATTGAAGCTGACAGTAAAAGATTCAACTTTGAGGTTCGGGATGAGGAGAAAGCTTCTTTGACTATTGTCAGGGAGGAAACAACCTCCTCTGAACCTGAAGTTATAGTTGGGAGATATGGTGATAAAGTGGCTGTTAGAAATTTTCTGCTGAATTCCAACTATGAACAAAATGTTTCTGTCATCTCAATAGTTGGAATAGGTGGATTGGGGAAGACCACACTTGCTCAACATGTTTTCAATGATGAGCAAGTTAATGTGCACTTTGGTCTGAAACTCTGGGTTAGTGTCTCAGGTGGTTTAGATGTTAAAAAGATTCTTAGAAATATCTTTGAGGCTATACCTAAAAAAGATAGTAACTTAGAGGCTGCTGGTTTTAGGGGAGATTCTGATCTGTTAGAGAATCTGAAAAACGAGCTTCAAAAAAAATTTGAAAAAAATAAGTATCTTCTCGTATTAGATGATGTGTGGGATGGTAAGGATGGTCAAGATGATGGTGAAAAGTGGGATAGTTTGAAGAAGTCGTTACCTCGTGATGCAATAGGAAGTAAGGTAGTAGTAACTACTCGTTCTCATAGAATTGCAAATTTCACAAGCACAATAGCACCACATGTTTTACAAGGTCTATCAGTAGATGAGTCATGGGATCTTTTTAGAAGAAAGGCATTTACTCAAGGTCATGGGTGGGATCACGTTGATGAAAACATTAGAAAAGAGATTGTAGAGAGGTGCTGTGGAGTTCCTTTGGTCATAAAGTCAATTGCGAGGCTCATGTCTTTGAAAGATAGAGCCCAGTGGTTGTCCTTTCTAAAACAAGAACTTCCACTTAGGGTCCAAGATGATAACATCATACTGACCCTTAAGTTAAGCTACGATGCTCTTCCATCACATATGAAGCATTGTTTTGCATACTGTAGCTTATTTCCAAAAGGTAGTGTAATTCATGTAAAATCATTGATTCAACTTTGGATTGCACAAGGGTTCGTTAGCTCTTCAAATTCAGGTGGTGGGTGTCTTGAAATGGCTGGTCTTAGGTGCTTTGAGAAGTTATTGTGGAGATCATTTTTTCACGAAGTGAAAAGGGATGCTTTAGGTAACATACTAAGTTGCAAAATGCATGATTTTATGTGTGATCTAGCAACCAACGTCGCTGGTTCTGAGAGCATCAAAGTGGAGACGAGGAGAGAAAATAGGATAAGTGATTTGACTCGACATGTGTCATTTGACATGGAATTGGATTTGTCACAACAAATTCCAATCCCTTCGCTTAGTGCAAAACGCTTAAGGACACTTATGATGCTACGTGGGAAATGGAATGAGGGGGCATGGGAATCAATTTGTCAAGACTTTAGGCGTTTACGTGTGCTTGATTTGCACGATTTAGAAATAATGGAAGTGTCACCTCTCATCGAAAGGTTCAAGCACCTTAAATATCTTGATCTTTCGGATAATGAGATGGAGGCACTTCCTAATTCTATCAGCAATCTAATAAATTTGCAAGTACTCAAGCTTAATGGGTGTCAGAACCTTAAAGCACTACCAAGAGATATTAATAAGCTGATTAATCTTAGGCATCTTGATATTGGTTGCTCTTTTGATGAAGATTTATGTTACAATTTGGAGTATATGCCTTGTGGGATTGGGAAATTAGCTTCTCTCCAGACGTTGTCATGTTTTGTGGTTGCAAAAACTTGTCCTGAATCCAAGATGGTTGGTGGATTGGATGAGTTGGGTAGTTTAAATGAATTGAGAGGGAGCCTAGAAATAAGAGTTCAGGGATATGAGAGGAATTCTTGTATATTAGAATTTGAGGGAGCTAAATTGATAGAGAAACAATATCTTCAGTCGTTGACCATAGAGTGTGATAGTGATTTAGACAATGATATTGATTTGTGTGATAAAATGTTGCAAAGCCTTCAGCCACACTCGAATTTGCAACATTTTTCGGTCGTAAATTATGGAGGTATGAGCTTGCCAAGTTGGCTTTCGCATCTCACAAATCTTATAAAGATTCATCTAAAAGATTGTGGAACACTTAAGCATATCCCTCCCTTAGATGGAATCCCATCTCTTGAAGAATTGAATATTTCGGGAATGAATCATTTAGAGTACATAGATAGGGAGGGGGTTGGAGGAAGAGGATGGTCGACGTTTTTCCCATCTCTGAAGAAACTCAAGATTAAGTACTGTCCTAGGCTGAAGGGATGTTGGAAGAAGAGTGATGAGATTAATGATGATAGCGATGAGACAACAACCACAACAGAAGAAGAGTCGATGATGCCCTCTTTCCCGCGTCTTTCTTCATTGACAATTCGCTACTGTCCTAATTTGTCTTCAATGCCGTTGTTTCCAACTCTCAATGATATACTAATTTTGGAGTGGACCAGCTCAGTTCCATTACAGCAGACAATGAAGATGAGAGGTTGGAAATCAACATCATCAGTCTCTTCTTCTTCTTCTTCATTTGTCCATCCACTCTCCAAGTTGAAGAAACTGGAAATTAGTTATATTAATGATATGGAATATCTCCCAGAAGATGTGCTGCAAAATCTCTCTTCTCTTCAACAACTATCAATTCGGCATTGCCGAAGATTGAAGGCTCTGCATCTACCTGATCAGGGCATGCATTCTCTTCAGAGATTAGAAATCTGGGATTGCGGAGAATTAAGGTTTCTATCTGAATCTCAATCTCAAGGTATACCCTACCTGCCTTCTTTGCAAGAATTAGTTATACTAAATTGCAGTGAAGAGTTGAGTGGAAGATTAAGAGAAGGGAAGGAGGGTCTGGAGTACTGGCCTAACATCAAACACATTCCAAATATTACAATTGATACATATTACATTCAAAAAGACGGTCACTATGTAAAGAAGGAAAATTTGAGATGCTGATAGCACTACAGAATGAGGTATTTGAGCTCTTCCTTGGTTTTGTTTTATTATCATTCTGCTAAAAGTGAAGCCTTCTCAATTTATCCAATCTGTCCTAAAATTTTTAAATCTCTTCTTTCTCGAAAAAAAGAAAGAGATTTAATTTGACAGTAAATAACAGAAACAAGGTACAATGATGGTATTGTAGGTATGATAGGCTGATTGTGCTGTGACAAGAACTTATTTTGGAATCCCAATTGCACCTGATCATATATTGAAATATTAGGTACACTTTCAAGTTCTTACACAAATAATCTTCTTTTATGACAAACCTTCTCTTTGTTGTCAAGCATTTCTGTGCAGGTTTCTTTCATTAGACCACATTTTGATAATTGTGGATTTATGGTGTTTTTCAGGCCGGGTGGCAATCTTCTTCGATCAGATTACTTTTGGTTTTCATTTTACAGACGATGCATTCCCATTTTCAGAATTTCAAAGTACAGGTATATTGATCTTAGAGCTGGTTAAGAATGTGCTACTGATAAAACATGTTCAAATTTATAGATAATCATGAAAGTTTTCTACTTTTCTACATCATTTCCCCTCTATTTTTTTTTCTTTTTTTATTATTAACACCAATTATTCTTCAAACTATGAAATCTAATTGAAAAACAAACTACAGTTCCTTTTTTCTTTCTCTCTCTCTCTCTCTCTGTTTTTTTTTTTTTTTTTGGCTTCTTATGATAATATATAATGTTTTGCAGGCCGTAACAACAATGAGATCACTTTTTCTTCATATATTCTACACATTTCCATTTGGAGATTTCCAAACAAACTGCAGGTATTGATTATCTCTCAGTGCTGATAAACTGTGTGTTCTGAATAATAATAGGTGAAGATACACAAGCATGCATGATTTCTTTTAGTTGGTTACCTGTTTTTGCTCTAACCAAGGCAAGCTCCATTGACTTAGCCTCAGACAGTAGAATCATCTACGAAAATTCCTGTGCGGAAAGGATCATGCATGTCAAACCTAGTATGAGACAGAATCAACTAAACGCCTTTATCAATTTCTTGTTTCTGTTTGTGTTTGTCATGGCATTCTAGTTTTTTATCCATAGTTGTCGATCGACTAAAGGATTTGCAACGAATTGGTCCTTGACTGTCTCCATGTAATTTTCTGCAGAGAACAATGAACAATATTAAAGGTTGGCCCTCCACAATTTCAAAACGGTGCCAGAAATTGAAAGATCAATTGGTTAGGGATGCTTGCCTTCTGTTACGCATAATTTTTCTAAAAGTTTTATATCAAAATTTCTGATATCAAACATGTGAGTTTTTTCTCTGCCTCTCTTAGTATGCTTGCCTTCTGTTACACATAATATTGTTTTTCGAATCTCATGTATTAATTAGCTTGAAATCTGATTACTATTTGAACAGAAGAAATCATATTGATATTGCTTCAAAATAATCAAAGAACAACAACCAAGATAAAAAATGTTGGCACTCCACAATCTCAAACATGAGCCAGAAATCAGAAGATAGTTGCCTGACTTGTTTCTTACTTATTTAATAAGTCGATTTGTTAGGCATGCATGCCTTTTGTTACACATAATCTTTCTCCAAGTTTATATCAAAATTTCTTGTAGTGTTTAATTGAATGTTTAGGAAGCTCTGTCACCGTTATCTAATTGGCTCTTTTTGAGTGATGGCTCGAAATCTGATTACTGTTTCAACAGAGCAAACTTGATTTTTTTGATGTACTGCTTTGGTATGTAAGATGGTGTTGGTCTTTTTGTCAAAAGTTTGTCTTTAAAGGTAATATTAGTGCTTTAATATTAAGTTTGATAATTTACAGTGCATCTGTTTTAAATATATAAGACACTGCAAAATTGAACCTATTGTCTTCACAAGTTTTGAAACAATTCTGTCTCTAATTTCTCCAGAATCCAGTTTGGCGCTGCTGGCACATTCTATAGCAATGGATTCATGCCTCTCAGTCAACTCAGCTTGTTACTAAATACCAATCCTCCTGCAAAGTTAACTTCTTGTCTCTCCCATTAACCTATTTTTCTTTTTCAATCTTTTTTATTACTTATTTTAGATCTTTTGTTTTGTTTCCTAGAAAGTTAGAAATTTAATAAACGCAATTGAGAAAGTCAATTGAAAACATCTATCTGTCTTATGAATCTTAGGGTTTTCAGATTTCGATCTCTTCTCTGTTTGGTTGTTGAGAAAATGGAGAGTATGAGGAAACATCATTATTTGCAAAATATGAAGTCTAGACTATAATGTCTTTTTGTAATGGTTGCAGTGAAGAAGACAATCCAAGCTTTACATTCTGGCGATAAAAAGTCAAATTTTATCATCAACAATGTGGATGTTATCAGTGTAATTATTTTCAAATTCTTGCCATAGATGAATTTGATTCTGTTTGTCTCAGCCTGAAATTTATTGCTCCTTTTGGTTTCTGTCAAAAAAAAAAAAAAAAAAAAAAAGAGCAATTGTTTAGCATATTTTTTTATTTTCTAAGAAGTTAACATTTGATTGGTGCAGGTTATGGTCATCGATCAGCATACTGTTTGATAAAACTGAAAAGTTTATCGATCTTGTTCTCATTGTAGATGATGGAACAAGCTGGATTGGTTGCAGAAGATGGTTCTGTGTCTTGACAGAAAAATTCAGTATAAGTTGCTTAATTCTGATCTTCATTTTCAATAGGTTTGCCTTTTGCTTTACAAAAATTTTGTCTTCCAGAGATTAAAACATGAACTGAAAATTTATTGACTTACTAATTCAAAAATTTGGGGTTTTTTCTTTGTTATGGAAAATAGTTTTGACTTGTTTTTAATATTCTTAGCAGGTTGTATGAGAACTTTGGCACAATAGAAATGATTACAATAGAGTAAGTTATCTGTCCTATTTATTACCCCTGATAAAGTATGATGAGATCTTCAACATTTGAGAGCTTCTGATTATATAGAAGGGAGAAAATGTATGTTCTTCTTAATGGGCACCTGAGACTTGTTCAAGATGCGAAGCAGTTAGTTTTCTGTGTAAGATATGGATGTCATAAACTTCCTACGTATATGAAGTGATTCTTTTTCATGGATTTCTTATTTACATTGGCAAGTTTGTGAGTGTAGCAACCAATCTTTCTTTATGAACCCCTCTGCGCTTTACAACAAGTGGTAATGTTAAAGATGGAACGGAAGGGCAAGTAATGATGAACTCTGAAATCAGTCAGCTCAAGCCATATAGCCTTGCACGGTTAACAAACACAGCAGGTGATGTTAACATGCATATGGCACTGGATATAATAGTCAGTAAGAAAAACTGAAGGCAGCATCATAGTATTGGGGCTACCATGAGACTAACATTGTTTTCGTGTAGGTCATAGGCTTCCATAGCCATTCTGAGATTATGAGCTGCTGATCCTGCTGTTACAAAAACTGGTTTTGAATCCCGATAGCACCTGAAGTATATTGAATCAGGTACACTTTATTCGGTTGAAAACCATAATTAGACAAATAACACTTATTGGGACTATGGACTTTAGTATCTTTCATATCAGAATTAGAGATCCACCTGAACTTTTTCATCTATTTTGAATTTCGTTCCACAATCACCTTCCCATTGCCATGTTGTACCATCTTAGCCCTCAGGGCATACTTTTTTTGAGAAAGAAGGTTCTTTCACAACAACCCTTCTCTTTGATACTTGTGCAAACGTTGATAGCGTTGGGTGGATATGTCTAGTTTTGAAATATTATTGCTTGACAAGCATCTGTGTGCAAGTTTTTTATTAGAAACAAATCCAGAGCATGTTATGATACTTTAATCAAGTTAAAGTTGTTTTCAATGTCGTTGCTGCTGTATGTGTTTAATTTTCTCTTTTCTTTCTCCAGTTCTCTGAGCAATGTAGTGTTCATGGACTGAAGGATTGCAAAGAAGTGGTCCTTGACTGTTTGCAACAATATCCAAGCATGTGAGTTTTATTGACCTAGGATTTTCCCATTACCCCATGTATTTTCCCTAGCGATTTTCTTTCTTCACATACTTCTGACCAGTTCTCCCGGACCTTTCTATTGCTCTGACTTCTTTACTGAACTTTGGCGGATCCTGATAGCAGGAAGTAAGGTATGCAAATGCATGAACTTCGCAAACAGGATGGGGATGATGGGAATAAGCTTAACTGCATTCTTCAGCTCACAGGATTCAGTGACCTTGTTTACACTGAAGCTTATTTGACTGTTTATCCCAATGACACTGCACTTAACGTCACATCGATCAACAGGAAAACAGACACCCTCCAGAATTTGTGCTTGGAACTTGCCACAGTGGGTGATCAGAAACTGGTGGAGCGGCCACAGAACAACACCCTGGCTCCAGAATCTAGTAGGCAGATAAAGGCCAACATCAAGGTGTCCTCAACGGAGACTCTGTGATTTTTGGCAATATTGAGTACGAGACATCAAACGTAATTGAGTGGACAGTTGTTGGCCTTTACAGCATCCACATTGATATCATGGATTATGTTTCTCCTGCGGTTTGTACTGGTACAGCTTTCAGAACGATGTGGGCAGTGTTTGAATGGGAAAACAAGGCACCACTGGCATTCTTTTTGACTTGTTTATTTCTGCAATCTGTGTCACATGCCTCCTGCAATGATGCGAGACTTTTCAACTTCCATTTGACATCATCATGCACAGATATATCTGAGTTAACGGAACTTGAGTATATTGGCAATTTGGCAGAATTTCTGAACTGTATCATTCAGTTATATATTGTGAATGCCTCTTGAATTTGGCTTGACGTGAAGCCAGCATTCTTATCTGCAGAAGTATTTGCAACTCTGCAAAAGCTTAGTCGTTTGGGTGTATAATATATATTTTTTTTTTTTGTCCTGAAAATGGTTTCTTTGCTGGAGTCAATCTTAAACTCTCCACCTTTGCAAATTTGTTTTTTTTTGTTGAATTTGATTTTATCATTTGCCTTAATTCTGCTTAAGTGCTTTCTTTAGATAGGGCATTTTGTCCTTGTATTCTGTCCATTTACTCTTTTCTTCCGCATCCATTAGTGATGTATGTTTGATAGATTATAAATTCTACAAATGTTTTTGCTTATAACTTGTGTTTCAGGTCGCTGTGAACACAATAATTCAAAGCGAGAAGGATTTTCTGGACCACATATAAGGAGCAAGACAGTTATGAAAAAGATTGAATGTTTGATTTTAAATATGAGAAAAAAAATTCATTTTTCGAGTTAGTTTTTAGAGTTGTAAAAGTCTAATAACACCTAATATTAGTATTAGAGCTCACGTTAAACAATTTTCCGTGTCTGATGTATAAAACGCTGGGTGCTTGAAAATGTCATTCTTCAAACTAATTTTTGGAGTTGAAAAAGATCGAATAGCAGTCAACATTGTGTTCCTGAAATTATTTCTAGCTGTATGTATGTATCTAGTTCACTTTTCCCCATTTTCCCTAGCAATTTAGTGTTGATGGGCTAAAGGATTGCGATCAATTGGTCCTTGACCGTCTGCAAGAGTTCGTTCTTCGAGCCTGTGAGTTAAGCAGTCCATTATTTACCCATAAATAAAGAATCAGCAACCCTTTTGATAAGACTTCTGGGGCCTACCCTTCGTTAAAGGCATTTGCTTTTGTCTGATTTCTGTGACAGATACGAAGCATCCTTCCAACATGATTGAAATTTCTTCTTAACAAGTTGCAGTCTATTTTCCTATAAACAAAGGTCATACTATGTATAGGAAAGCATCAATAATTCTTTTGATAACATTTTTGGGGCCTACCCTTCGTTAAAGGCATTTGCAACCTAAGAATACTAAAGTAAAATAATGTTCCAACATGATTGAAGTTTCATCTTAACAAGTTGCAATCTGTTTTCCTATAAAGCAATCACCACCATTCAAAGCAAGTAAACACATCAAACACCATCTTTTCACTCTTTTCTTTTATCTTCCCTTTTAGTCTGTTTGCCTCCACCCACTCTTTTTTCACCCACCAAGAAACAATGGCTGAAGGTGTGCTCTTCAATGTTGCGGAGGAAATAATAAAGAAAGTGGGCTCCCTAGCTGCTCAGGAGGTTGCTCTCAGGTTTGGTGTCAACGATCAGCTACGCAAGCTCGAGGGCACAGTTACCAGAATCAAGGCTGTGCTGGATGACGCTGCAGAGCAAGGACGAAAACAAAGCAATCAAGTCAAAGACTGGTTGAGGAAGCTGCAAGGAGCACTATATGATGCAGAAGATTTGTTGGATGACTTCTCGACAGAAGTTCAGCGGAAACAGTTGGTGTGTGGGAACAAAGTATCGAGGGAGGTACGGGTTTTCTTCTCAAAATCAAACCAATTTGTTTATGGTTTGGGGATGGGTCATAAAGTTAAAGCACTTAGGGAGAGACTAGCTGACATCGATGCTGACAGTAAACAATTCAACTTTGAGGTTCGTGATGAGGAGAAAGCTTCTTTGAACACGGTCAGGGAGCAAACTACATCCTCTGAACCTGAAGTTATAGTTGGGAGAGAAGGTGATAAAGTGGCACTTAAAACTTTTTTGCTGAATTCCAACTATGAACAGAATGTTTCTGTCATCTCAATAGTTGGAATAGGTGGATTGGGGAAGACCACACTAGCTCAACATGCTTTCAATGATGAGCAAGTTAAGGTGCACTTTGGCGTGAAACTCTGGGTTAGTGTCTCAGGTGGTTTAGATGTGAAAAAGATTCTCAAAGATATTGTAGGTAGAGATTTTGATCAGTTAGAGAATCTGAAAAATGAACTTGAAAATAAAATTGAAAAAAATAAGTATCTTCTCGTATTAGATGATGTGTGGGATGGTCAAGATGATGGTGAAAAGTGGGATAGGTTGAACGAGTTGTTACCACATCATGTTGTAGGAAGTAAGGTAGTAGTAACCACACGTTCCCATAGAATTGCAAATCTCACAAGCACAATACCACCACATGATTTACAAGGTTTATCAGTAGATGAGTCATGGGATCTTTTTAGAAAAAGGGCATTTCCTCAAGGTCATGAGTCGGATCACGTAGATGAAAACATTAGAAAAGAGATTGTAGAGAGGTGTTGTGGAGTTCCTTTGGTCATAAAGTCAATTGCGAGGCTAATGTCTTTGAAAGATAGAGTCCAGTGGTTGTCCTTTATAAAACAAGAACTTCCACTTAGGGTCCAAGATGATAACATCATACAGACCCTTAAGTTAAGCTACGATCCTCTTCCTTCATACATGAAACATTGTTTTGCATGCTGTAGCTTATTTCCAAAAGGTCTTGAGATTGATGTAAAATCATTGATTCAATTTTGGATTGCACAAGGGTTCATTAGCTCTTCGGGTGGTGGGAGTCTTGAAATTGCTGGGCTTAGTTGCTTTGAGAATTTAGCGTGGAGGTCGTTCTTTCACGAAGTGAAAAAGGATGCTTTAGGTAACATAGAAAGTTGCAAAATGCATGATTTTATGTGTGATCTGGCAACCAAAGTCGCTGGTTCTGAGAGCATCAAAGTGGAGACGAGGAGAGAAAATAGGATAAGTGATTTGACTCAACATTTGTCATTTGGCATGGAATTGGATTTGTCACAACAAATTCCAATCCCCTCGCGTAGTGCAAAACGTTTAAGAACACTTATAATGCTAGGTGGGAAATGGAGTGAGGGGGCATGGAAGTCAATTTGTCAAGAGTTTAGGCGTATACGTGTCTTTTACTTGCGTGGCTTAGGAATTAAGAAAGTGTCTCGTTCCATTGAAAAGTTCAAGCACCTTAAATATCTTGATCTTTCGAATAATGAGATGGAGGCACTTCCTAATTCTGTTACCAATCTAATAAATTTGCAAGTGCTCAAGCTTAATAGTTGTCGGAAACTTAAAGCACTACCTAGAGATATTAATAAGCTGATTAATCTTAGGCATCTTGATGTTGGTTGCTCTCTTGATGAAGATTTATGTGAAAGTTTGAAGTATATGCCTCGTGGGATTGGGAAATTAACTTGTCTCCAGACGTTGTCATGTTTTGTGGTTGGAAAAAGAGTCCTGGATCCAAGATGGTTGGTGGATTGGATGAGTTGGGTAGGTTAAATGAATTGAGAGGGAGCCTAGAAATAAGAGTTAGGGGATATAAGATGGTTGCTAGATTGGATGAGTTGGATAGTTTAAATGAATTGGGTAGTTTAAATGAATTTAGAGGGAGCCTTGAAATAAGAGTGCAGGGATATGAGAGGAATTCTTGTATATTAGAATTTGAGGGAGCTAAATTGATAGAGAAACAATATCTTCAGTCGTTGACCATAGTGTGGAATAGTGATTTACACATTGATAGTGATTTGTGTGATAAAATGTTGCAAAGCCTACAGCCAAACAGGAATCTTCAACAGTTGGAAGTGAGACGTTATAGAGGTATGAGGTTGCCAAGTTGGCTTTCACATCTCACCGATCTTGTAAGGATTCGTCTAATTAATAGTAGAAGACTTGAGCATATCCCTCCCTTAGATGGAATCCCTTCTCTTGAAGAACTGCATATTGACGGTTTACCTAATCTGGAATACATAGATAATGAGGGGGTTGGAGGAAGAGGAATGTCGGTGTTTTTCCCATCCCTGAAGAAACTCACGATTTGGTCATGTGAAAGGCTGAAGGGATGGTGGAAGAAGAGTGATGAGATTAATGAGCCAACAACCACAACAGAAGAAGAGTTGATGATGCTCTCTTTTCCACGTCTTTCTTCCTTGTCAATACGCCTCTGTCCTAAACTGTATTCAATGCCATTGTTTCCAACTCTAGATGATGAGCTCTATTTGTGGTCGACCAGCTCAGTGCCATTACAGCAGACAATGAAGATGAGAGGTTGGAAATCAACATCATCAGTCTCCTCTTCTTCTTCTTCTTCATCATTTATCTGTCCTCTCTCCAAATTGAAGGAACTCAATATTTATGATATTGAGGATATGGATTCTCTCTCAGAAGATGTGCTGCAAAATCTCTCTTCTCTTCAACAGCTATCAATTTGGGATTGCCCAAGATTGAAGGCTCTGCATCTACCTGATCAGGGGATGCATTCTCTTCAGCTATTAACGATCGGTATATGTAGAGATTTAAGGTCTCTATGTGAATCTCAATCTCAAGGGATACCGAACCTTCCCTCTTTGCAAGAATTATATATCAGATCGTGCGGTGAAGAGTTGAGTGGAAGATTAAGAGAAGGGAAGGAGGGTGTGGAGTACTGGCCTAACATCAAACACATTCCAACTATTATAATTGATGATTATTTCATTCAAAAGGACGGTCACTATGTAAAGGAGGAAAAATTGAGATGGCCATAGAATATGAGGTATTTGAGCTCATAGCATGTCTGTGGAGCTTTCTTTTATTAGACCATATTTTGATAACTTGGATTTTTATGGCGTTTTTCAGGCCAGTGGCAATCTTCAATCAGATTACTTTTGGTTTTCGTTTTACAGATGATGGATTCCCATTTTTAGAATTCCAAAGTACAGGTATATTGATCTTAGAGCTGGTTTAGTATGTGCTACTGATAAAACATGTTTAAATTTATTGAAGTTAGGAAAGCATTATAGTTTTCTAGTTTTCCAAAATCCTTTCTGCTGTATGCGTTTATCATTCTAGTTTTCTTTCCCAGTTCTCTGACCAGTTTGCTGTGGATACGCTGAGGTACTGCAAAGGAATGGTCCTTGAATGTCTGCAACAGTCTTCAAGCATGTGAGTTTTATTTGCATTAAGATTTTTTAATTACCCCCACTAGTTTCCATCTCTTTCGAATGAGTTTGATCTGATAATAGTGAACTATGTTTAGTTACAATCGCCTAGTGAGTTCTGTTTTCATATAATTCTGTCCACTTGTCTTTGACCTTTCTACTGGTGTGCCATCTTTACTGAACTTTGAGAACTGGATCTTGATTGCAGGAAATAAGTATGCACATGGATGAACTTTGCAAAATGTCGAAATTTCCCATGGAGAAAGTCAAGTAATCCCTCCCCTTTCCCTTTCTCTCTTTATTCATTTCACTTGCTAAAGCATAGTTGTGTAATGAGGTCCTTAACATGTGAGATCTTCTGATTATACAGTTAGCATGTTCGAGTTAATGAGTCACATGATAGAGTCGTTCAAGATGCGAAGCAGATAGTTTTCTTTGCAAGCTATGGATGTGACGAGCTTCCGATGTATATGAAGTTGTTATTTTTCTGGGATTTCTTATTTAACTAGCAAGTTTTTGGTGTCTCTGCCTCTTCCTGGTAAGGGGATGTATTCTCTTCAGAGATTAAAAATCTGTTCTTGCCCAGAATTAAGGTTTCTATCTGAATCTCAATCTCAAGAGATACCCACCTTCCCTCTTTTGAAGAATTAGATATCAATGGGTGCAGTAAAAATTTGAGTGGAAGATTAAGAGAAGGCAAAGAGGCTGTGGAGTACAGAGTATTGTAATTGATGGATATTACATTCACGGTCGCTATATAAAAAAAATTGGATGAGACTGAATCAACTCCACTTCCTTTTTAATTCCTTGTCACTGATTGCCAGGAATTGGTCCTTGACTGTCTCCATGCAATTATGTGCAGAGAACAAAGAGCAATATAAAAACTGTTGGCACTCCACAATTTCAAACACAAGCCAGAAATCAACAGGTACTTGACTTGTTTCTTCTTTAAAAGATAAATTGGTTATGCATACGATTTTTCTCTGCATCTCTTAGTTCTACGTGCAGTCATAAATTTTCTCCGAGTTTTACTGTTCTCTACTGTAAGTGTAAATTTGATTGATTTCAATGTGCTGCTTCAGTATGTAAGATGTTGTTGAGGTTTTTGTCAAAAGTTTGTCTTTGAAGGTAATCTATCAGTGCAACAATGTTAAGCTTGCATTGCAAATTTGAACCTACTGTGTTATTCAAGGTTTTTACCTAATTTGGTCTATTGCACAGCATCTTTGCTTTGACTTTTGATATCCAATCATTGGCCTACCATATGCTGAAAGCAGTGAGAGAACATTAGCATTTTCAGAAGGTACAGTTTCTATCCTTACGGTTCTAGGGGTTGCAATTTTTTCAGGGTGGACTTTTAATTATAATGTGAAACACTCCATCTCCAAATAAAGCTGGCCAGCTTACTCTATCCGTAACTTACTTCTCCAGTATCCAGTTCAGTGCTGCCTTCACCTTCTATGGTGGTGGATTCATGCATCTCAGTCAAACTCAGCGCGCCACCAAGTACCACTCCTCTTGCAAAAGTAAGCCCTCACATCTCTCCATTTCATTTCCCCTCTTTCTTGTTAATCATTATTATCTATTTTTGACTTTTGTTTAGTTTCCTAGAAAGTTAGAAATTCAATAAATGAAATTGAAAAAGTCGATTGGAAAGATTTAATCTGCCTTCTTACATATTACTTTTAGTGTTTTCATATTTCTATTCTCTGTTTGGCTTATGTTATATTTATCAATTTCTTACACAAATAATCTTCTTTTATGACAAACCTTCTCTTTGTTGTCAAGCATTTCTGTGCAGGTTTCTTTCATTAGACCACATTTTGATAATTGTGGATTTATGGTGTTTTTCAGGCCGGGTGGCAATCTTCTTCGATCAGATTACTTTTGATTTTCATTTTACAGATGATGCATTCCCATTTTCAGAATTTCAAAGTACTGGTATATTGATCTTAGAGCTGGTTAAGTATGTCCTACTGATAAAACATGCTCAAATTTATAGATAATCATGATAGTTTTCTACTTTTCTACATCATTTACCCTCTATGTTTTTATTATTAACACCAATTATTCTTCAAACTATGAAATCTAATTGAAAAACAAACTACAGTTCCTTTTTCCTTTCTCTCTCTCTCTCTCTCTATTTTTTTTTTGGCTTCTTATGATAATATATAATGTTTTGCAGGCCGTAACAACAACGAGATCACTTTTTCTTCATATATTCTACACATTCCCATTTGGAGATTTCCGAACAAACTGCAGGTATTGATTATCTCTCAGTGCTGATAAACTGTGTGTTCTGAATAATAATAGGTGAAGATACACAAGCATGCATGATTTCTTTTGGTTGGTTATCTGTTTTTGCTCTAACCAAGGCAAGCTCCATTGACTCAGCCTCAGACAGTAGAATCATCTACGAAAACATTCGTGTGCGGAAAGGATCATGCACGTCAAACCTAGTATGAGACAGAATCAACTAAACGCCTTTATCAATTTCTTGTTTGTGTTTGTGTTTGTCATGACATTCTAGTTTTTTGTCCATAGTTGTTGATCGACTAAAGGATTTGCAACGAATTGGTCCTTGGCTGTCTCCATGTAATTATCTGCAGAGAACAATGAACAATATTAAAGGTTGGCACTCCAAAATTTCAAAACGGCGCCAGAAATTGAAAGATCAATTGGTTAGGGATGCTCTCTTAGTATGCTTGCCTTCTGTTACACATAATATTGTTTTTCGAATCTCATGTATTAATTAGCTTGAAATCTGATTACTATTTGAACAGAAGAAATCATATTGATATTGCTTCAAAATAATCAAAGAACAACGAAAAAGATAAAAAATGTTGGCACTCCACAATCTCAAACATGAGCCAGAAATCAGAAGATAGGTGCCTGACTTGTTTCTTATTTAATAAGTCGATTCGTTAGGCATGCATGCCTTTTGTTACACATAATCTTTCTCCAAGTTTATATCAAAATTTCTTGTAGTGTTTAATTGAATGTTTAGGAAGCTCTGTCACTGTTATCTAATTGGCTCTTTTCGAGTGATGGCTCGAAATCTGATTACTGTTTCAACGGAGGAAACTTGATTATTTTGATGTACTGCTTTGGTATGTAAGATGGTGTTGGTCTTTTTGTCAAAAGCTTGTCTTTAAAGGTAATATTAGTGCTTTAATGTTAAGTTTGATAATTTTCAGTGCATCTGTTTTAAATATATACGACATTGCAAAATTGAACCTATTGTCTTCACAAGTTTTGAAACAATTCGGTCTCTAATTTCTCCAGAATCCAGTTTGGCGCTGCCGTCACATTCTATAGCAATGGATTCATGCCTCTCAGTCAACTCAGCTTGTCACTAAATACCAATCCTCCTGCAAAGTTAACTTCTTGTCTCTCCCATTTCCCTATTTTTCTTTTTCAATCTTTTTTATCACTTATTTTAGATCTTTTGTTTTGTTTCCTAGAAAGTTAGAAATTTAATAAACGCAATTGAGAAAGTCAATTGAAAACATCTATCTGTCTTATGAATCTTAGGGTTTTCAGATTTCGATCTCTTCTCTGTTTGGTTGTTGAGAAAATGGAGGGTATGAGGAAACATCATTATTTGCAAAATATGAAGTCTAGACTATAATGTCTTTTTGTAATGGTTGCAGTGAAGAAGACAATCCAAGCTTTACAATCCAAGCTTTACATTCTGGCGATAAAAAGTCAAATTTTATCATCAACAATGTGGATGTTGTCAGTGTAATTATTTTCAAATTCTTGCCATGGATGAATTTGATTCTGTTTGTCTCAGCCTGAAATTTATTGCTCCTTTTGGTTTCTGTCAAAAAAAAAAAGAAAAAAGAAAAAAAAAAGAGCAATTGTTTAGCATATTTTTTTATTTTCTAAGAAGTTAACATTTGATTGGTGCGGGTTATGGTCATCGATCAGCATACTGTTTGATAAAACTGAAAAGTTTATCGATCTTGTTCTCATTGTAGATGATGGAACAAGCTGGATCGGTTGCAGAAGATGGTTCTGTGCCTTGACAGAAAAATTCAGTATAAGTTGCTTAATTCTGATCTTCATTTCAATAGGTTTGCCTTTTGCTTTACAAAAATTTTGTCTTCCAGAGATTAAAACATGAACTGAAAATTTATTGACTTACTAATTCAAAAATTTGGGGTTTTTTCTTTGTTATGGAAAATAGTTTTGACTTGTTTTTAACATTCTTACCAGGGTGTATGAGAACTTTGACACAATAGAGTAAGTTATCTGTCCTATTTATTACCCCTGATAAAGTATGATGAGCTCTTCAACATTTGAGAGGTTCTGATTATATAGAAGGGAGAAAATGTATGTTCTTCTTAATGGGCACCTGAGACTTGTTCAAGATGCGAAGCAGTTAGTTTTCTGTGTAAGATATGGATGTCATAAACTTCCTACGTATATGAAGTTACTCATTTTCATGGATTTCTTATTTACATTGGCAAGTTTGTGAGTGTAGCAACGAGTCTTTCTTTATGAACCCCATTGCGCTTTACAACAAGTGGTAATGTTAAAGATGGAACAGAAGGGCAAGTAATGATGAACTCTGAAATCAGTCAGCTCAAGCCATAGCCTTGCACGGTTAACAAACACAGCAGGTGATGTTAACATGCATATGGCACTGGATCTAATAGTCAGTAAGAAAAACTGAAGGCAGCATCATAGTATTGGGGCTACCATGAGACTAACATTGTTTTCGTGTAGGTCATAGGCTTCCATAGCCATTCTGAGATTATGAGCTGCTGACCTGCTGTTACAAAAACTGGTTTTGAATCCCGATAGCACCTGAAGTATATTGAATCAGGTACATTTTATTCGGTTGAAAACCATAATTAGACAAATAACCCTTATTGGGACTATGGACTTTAGTATCTTTCATATCAGAATTAGAGATCCACCTGAACTTTTTCATCTATTTTGAATTTCGTTCGACAATCACCTTCCCATTGCCATGTTTGTACCATCTCAGCCCTCAGGGCATACTTTGTTTGAGAAAGAAGGTTCTTTCACAACAGCCCTTCTCTTTGATACTTGTGAAACTTTAATAGCGTTGGGTGCATATGTCTAGTTTTGAAATATTATTGCTTGACAAGCATCTCTGTGCAAGTTTTTTATTAGAAACAAATCCAGAGCATGTTATGATACTTTAATCAAGTTAAAGTTGTTTTCAATGTCGTTGCTGCTGTATGTGTTTAATTTTCTCTTTTCTTTCTCCAGTTCTCTGAGCAATTTAGTGTTCATTGACTGAAGGATTGCAAAGAAGTGGTCCTTGACTGTCTGCAACAATATTCAAGCATGTGAGTTCTATTGACATAGGATTTTCCCATTACCCCATGTATTTTCTCTAGCGATTTTCTTTCTTCACATACTTCTGACCAGTTCTCCTGGACCGTTCTACTGCTCTGACTTTACTGAACTTTGGTGGATCTTGATAGCAGGAAGTAAGGTATGCAAATGCATGAACTTCGCAAACAGGATGGGGATGATGGGAATAAGCTTAACCGCATTCTTCAGCTCACAGGATTTAGTGACCTTGTTTACACTGAAGCTTACTTGACTGTTTATCCCTATGACACTGTACTTAACGTCACAGCGATCAACAGGACAACAGACACCCTCCAGAATTTGTGCTTGGAACTTGCCACAGTGGGTGATCAGAAACTGGTGGAGCGGCCACAGAACAACACCCTGGCTCCAGAATCTAGTAGGCAGATAAAGGCCAACATCAAGGTGTCCTCAACGGAGACTCTGTGATTTTTGGCAATATTGTGTACGAGACATCAAACGTACTTGAGTGGACAGTTGTTGTCCTTAACGACATCCACATTGATATCATGGATTAAATTTCTCCTGCGGTTTGTACTGATGCAGCTTTCAGAAAAATGTGGGCAGAGTTTGAATTGGTAAACAAGGTACCACTGGCATTCTTTTTGACTTGTTTATTTCTGCAATCTGTGTCACATGCCTCCTGCAATGATGCGAGACTTTTCAACTTCCATTTGACATCATCATGCACGGATATATCTGTGTTAATGGAACTTGAGTATATTGGCAATTTGGCAGAATTTCTGAACTGTATCATTCAGTTATATATTGTGAATGCCTCTTGAATTTGGCTTGACGTGAAGCCAGCATTCTTATCTGCAGAAGTATTTGCAACTCTGCAAAAGCTTAGTCGTTTGGGTGTATAATTTTCTCGGTTTTTTTTTTTTTTTTATGTCCTGAAAATGGTTTCTTTGCTGGAGTCAATCTTAAACTATCCACCTTTGCAAATGTCCATTTGTTTTTTTGTTGAATTTGATTTTATCATTTTCCTTAATTCTGCTTAAGTGCTTGTCTTTAGATAGGGCATTTCTTAATTTGATCTCCATTTTGTCCTTGTATTCTGTCCATTTACACTTCTCTTCCGCATCCATTAGTGATGTATGTTTGATATATTATAAATTCTACAAATGTTTTTGCTTATAACTTGTGTTTCAGGTCGCTGTGAACACAATAATTCAAAGCGAGAAGGATTTTCTGGAACACATATAAGGAGCAAGACCCAAGGAATCGCTACATCAGTTATGAAAAAGATTGAATGTTTGATTTTAAATATGAGAAAAAACTTATATTTTTTGAGTTAGTTTTTAGAGTTGTAAAAGTCTAATAACACTTAATATTAGTATTAGAGCTCATGTTAAACAATTTTCCGTGTCTGATGTATAAAACGCTGGGTGCTTGAAAATGTCATTCTTCAAGCTAATTTTTGGAGTTGAAAAATAACAAATCAAGAATAACAAAACAAGAGTTCTGTGGAAAAAATCTCTCTCCCTCCTCTCAGCTTTTCTTCCCTTTATATAGTAATTTGTACAAGGTATTGTGTCCCTTAATTACAGCAATCAACTCCCCAATTATGTCCCCATACCACAGCAGATCCTATTCTAGGAAAGTATATATTTACGGCAATCAACTCTCCAATTATGTCCTCATATCACAGCAGATCCTATTCTAGGAAAGTATATATTTATATCAATAATAACTTGACAGTTACGTTGACCACATCTTGACGAGCTTTACTTGACACCCTCCTTCAAATTGACGTCGGGGAATCAACCAACATCAATTTGTTAACGAAGAACCGATGTCGAGCTGAAGGTAGGGGCTTGGTAAGTATATCAGCAATCCGTTGATGTGTAGAAACATAAGGAAGAGTAATTGAACCATTGTCAAAGGATTCTCGGATTGAATGACAATCGACCTCGATATGCTTTGTACACTCATGATACACCGGATTTGCTACAATCTGAATAACACTTGTATTGTCGGCATGAAGAGGAGTAGGAGTAGACCGGTGGTAACCTAATTCGGAGAGCAAACCACGTAACCAAGTAACTTTCGAACATGTGGTAGACATGGCACGATATTCGCCTCGCTTGACGATTTGGAGACTCGTTCTTGTTTCTTGCATTTCCAGGAAATTAAAGCATCACCCAAGTATACACACCAACTTGTTGTAGAGCGGCGCGTATCGGGACAACCCGCCCAATCGGCGTCACCGTAAGCGACCAAATTTAGAGAAGAACCAAGCTGGAAAAAATAGACCACGATTAGAAGTCCCATGAAGATAGCGAATAATTCGCTTTACGAGTCGCCATATGTAAATGCCTCGGAGAAGCCATAAACCGACTCGGCAAGTTAACGGCGAAGGATATGTCCGGTCTAGTGATAGTCAAGTAAACTAGGCTTCCCACAAGACGCCGATACAATGTTGGATCTTTTAAAAGCTCACCTTCATCTTTGCGATACTTGACGATTACGTTGACCACATCTTGACGGCTTATCTCGTCAAGTTATTATTGATATAAATATATACTTTCCTAGAATAGGATCTCGCTATGATATGGGGACATAATTGGAGAGTTGATTGCTGTAAATATATACTTTCCTAGAATAGGATCTCGTTGTGATATGGGGACATAATTGGAGATTGATTGCTGTAATTAAGGGATACAATACCTTGTACAAATTACTATATAAAGGGAAGAAAAGCCGAGAGGAGGGAGAGAGATTTTTAAGTGTAGGTGAAGGAAGACGATTTATTAGATGGACAACGAGTAGATATAACTTCAACCCAAAATTTTGGTGGAACACAGGACTCAATGAGTAGTGAACGGGCCATATCAAGAAGATGTCGGTTTTTTCGTTTAACAACACCATTTTGCCGAGGTGTATAAGGACAACTCCTTTGAGAAATAATACCTTTTTGTTGAAGGAACTCTTGAAATTTTTGAGATATGTATTCCCCACCGCAGTCGGATCGAAGAATTTTGACTTTTTTGGAAAACTCGATTTTCAATCATGGATAGAAATTTTTGAAAAGCATCAAAAACTTTAGATTTACTTCGCAAAAAATATATCCAAGTAAATTGACTAAAATCATCAATGAAGATCACAAAGTATTTATGTTGAGAATGAGAAATAACGAGTGAAATCCCCCAAACATCACTATGGATTAAATCAAAACAATGAGAGACATGTGTATCTTGAGAAGGAAATGGTAGAGTTTTGCTTTTACCCAACTTGCAGCTAGAACAATCAAAATTGGCATCTTTAAATGGGACTTTTTTTCCTAACACACCAGATTTTAACAAAAATGAAAGAGTCCTATCATTTGGATGGCCTAACTTCACATGCCATGATTTAAGTTCAAGCTGGACAGAACAAGAAAGAAACGAAGACACATTCAAAAACTTGGCTGGTTCATCTAGTTGGAGAGGAAAAAGTCGGCCACATTTAGGTCCTTTAGCTACTGTCTTCCCCGACACCAGCTCCCGCACAACACAACCGGAAGAAGAAAAAGTAACTTTGCAATTATTCTCTACCATTTGTCCAACGGAAAGTAGATTAGCATACAAATCAGGAGCAACAAAGACATTCATCAATGATGGAGTGGTAGAAATATCACCCGTAGCAGCAATAGGAATTTGATTCCCATTAGCGAGTCTCAATTTTCAAGTTGCCATCATATTTTTTGACATTCGGTAGATTATTAGATGATGGAGTCATATGATTTGAAGCAACTGAGTCAAAGAGCCAAAATTTAGGTAAAGATTTGTTTTTACTAGTAAGGCCGAAAGCGGAAAGAGCTGAGACAATCATCTCGCTGCACATTCTCTTGTGTCGAGGTGGAGCTGGTTGTTGAGAAGAAACAAATTCTGAAGTGGTTTCAGTCGCTGCATTTGTAGTTGATGCATGAAAAGCACGAAAATTACGATTTTGTGGACGCTTCTTACATTCATAAATAATGTGTCCTTTTCCTTTGCAATAGTTGCAAAACTTTTGGGAACATTGACTTGCTATGTGTCCAAATTCCTTACAACCGAAACATTGAGTATTGTTTATATTTCGGACCCGAGGTTTGCCTTGTGCAGCATATGCAACATTCAAAACGTTGGTGCAGTTTCCTTGTTGCTCTAATGTAGCTTGTGTCATGTGACGCTGCTCTTCGCGAAGAAGTTCATTCAAACAATCATCTAAAGATGGAGAAGGAGTTCGAGTAATAAATTTGATCTCACCGCTTCAAATTCGGGTCCGAGCTTCATCGGGAATTGATCTCTTTGACTCGGTCCGATGAAGAGTTCGACAACTTCCAAAGATGTACCGGGACCGATGCATAAACAATATTGGCATATTCAGTCCATAATGTCACAAAACCTGTATAATACTCTTGAATAGACAAGTTTCCTTGTGTGTAAGTGGACATCTCATATTCCAGTTGAAACCTCCTTGTTGAGCTATTCGATCATACACTTTCTTGAGATAATCCCACATGGCTTTAGCTGTCTTATATGGTCTTAAATTGACAACAATTGAAGGATCCATGGTTTGCAGCAACCAGCTCTTGACACGAGCATCCTTGGCTGTCCACTCAGCAGCCTTGATCGGATCAGTAGGTTTATTGTCCGTGCCATCAACAATCCTCCATAAATCTGAAACTGAAATTCCCAAGCAAAATAATTCTTGCCTGAAAATCTGATGCAAGCTACTTTTGATTTTTCCATGAATACAATGTCAAAAAAGAAGTACAAAAAAAAAATGTCTTACAATCGATGAACCAAGAACCTGAAGCAACCAGAAAAAAATTCACAAAGAATTCAAGAAACAAGAAACCCCTAAGGGCTTTGATGCCATAACAAATCAAGAATAACAAAACAAGATTTCTGTGGAAAAAATCTCTCTCCCTCCTCTCAGCTTTTCTTCCCTTTATATAGTAATTTGTACAAGGTATTGTATCCCTTAATTACAACAATCAACTCCCCAATTATGTCCCCATATCACAGCAGATACTATTCTAAGAAAGTATATATTTACAGCAATCAACTACTCAATTATGTCCCCATATCACAGCAGTTCCTATTCTAGAAAAGTATATATTTATATCAATAATAACTTGACAGGTACGTTGATCACATCTTGACAGCTTTACTTGATAAAAAAGACCCAATAGCACTCAACATTGTGTTCCTGAAATTATTTCTAGCTGTATGTATGTATCTAGTTCACTTTTCCCCATTTTCCCTAGCAATTTAGTGTTGATGGACTAAAGGATTGCGATCAATTGGTCCTTGACCGTCTGCAAGAGTTCGTTCTTCGAGCCTGTGAGTTAAGCAGTCCATTATTTACCCATAAATAAAGAATCAACAACTCTTTTGATAAGACTTCTGGGGCCTACCCCTTCGTTAAAGGCATTTGCTTTTGTCTGATTTCTGTGA